GAGCCCATGTAGGTTATGAAGAATCCACCATCTGGCTTTGCCCGGACCTCATCTGCAATGGATGCAAGGATACCGCGGTTACTCTTCAGGAACTTGGGACGGTAAGGATTGGAGGTGTCGAAGTAGAAGCCAGTATCCTAATAAAGCATTAGACTGTTGTGGGAGAATGTTGAAAGAAGCACACATACTTGAGTCTTCAAGAGAGATAGCAACCCACCACCCCAGATGGTCTTTCCATCTAGAGACGGGCCCAGGTGGTGAGGGTCATTGCCGCTGCTTGGCACATCGGTGACCCACAAAAGAGTTCCAAAGGTTTCCTAAATCGAATCAGTAAATAGGTCCAACATACTAGCTGTCTGAATTATGATTGGCCTACATCATCCAAACTGTAGGTAGCAAGGAAGTCTACCAATGATAGTAAGTATCATCTCCTCATGACAATCCACAATTCGTAAATCCATACCTTTATGGAACTTGTCTGCCGAGCCAGTCCAAAAATAACCAATCTTCTTCGGCTTGATATCACTCGACGTGAAGGGAGGACTCTCCAGCGGAGGAGTAGGGACTTGCAAAATAGGCAAAGGAGGAGCGTTGGTCGTTAGAGGCTCGGTCACTCCAGGAATGAGAGGAATGAGAGGAGGCAAAGAAAGACACTCCCCAAGGGCAATCAAAGACGCAATAGAAGCAATAGAGTACTTCATCTTGTTAGCGAGAAAGATTGAGCAGGATTGCGTTGGTTTGATGAGCATATTTGCGGGAAATCTCGAGAGCTTATATACCCGAGTGCGTCTTCATCTCGTTCCAAATGAAGCATTGTCTTTCTCTCCCCCTGAACTATCTCGACAACAACAACACAGAGCACGCAAGAAAGTTACATTTTGGGTTCGTGTGATATTCCAAATCCCTCGAGATGCTGATCTGCGAAATGGCGAATTTCATCCCTCCAACACCGATGTGACAAGCCAGACAACTCCCAACTCGGGATTTTATCATGGACCAATTGTTCCCGATATTCAGTCTTGCTTTTTCCTGCAAAATTTAAGTCGTGGGGGTTCCTGCTAATCTTGAGGAGATGTCGTGATTGAAGTTAATCCAGAGTCTCGAGAGAGGGATTGTAAGTTCATGAAATCAATAGCTCCAACCCAAACATGGATCTCTAGCAAGCGGAGCTCTATACGAGTGTTAAGCCTCGACCTGCCTATGACCGGCAGTGATATATGGACGAACTGGTGGAACCAGGGCTAAGGGAACCCATGATTTCCGAAATAGGAAAGGCCCAAGAACCGTCCTCGCCGATCGCCATATCCACATACAACATAAGCAAGGCACGGGATTAAGATCCGAAGGTCAAAGCAAAGTTCAAGTACTGATATTAAGTGAAGTGGGAACAAAGAGGTGAAAGTAGAGGAATGATCCGTGCATGCCAAGAAATGTGGGATGTACTCATCCAAGCTACCGATGAGGTGATCCAGGGTCGACCTTCAATTTCCACTTTTCTCAATCCCGAGACAATCTACCGAAAACACCTGTCAGGTCCCTGGATCCGCATTTTCATTTCCCCATGGAGACCATGAGCACGGTTGGGCCTGTATCGATTTCGACATGATGCCAAGAATGTTGTTATACACTCTACTCAGTTTGATTGGGATCAAGATCACAAGGCCATAAAATATATTGGAACTAGCGAAATTCTTGTGTATATTCCCCGTCGGGGCTTGGAGGGGCGGGTTGGTATGGAAATGGCATATATAACTGGGATGACTGCAGGTTTTTAGCTCAAGACACCCAAGTCCAAATCCCATTCTTCTGCACATTCTTTTCCGTGACTTGAAAATGAAGTCCCAAAGCCTAGCGCTCTTTGGGCTATTTTTTTCCTCTGCCTTTGCAGTACCTCGGACTAAGAGGCAGGATGATGGCAATGACCAGCCGATTAGCGGTGCCAAAGGAGCCCCGATTCTAGGTAAGTCCGAGGTCAGAAGATTGGCCTATAGCTACCGGCCAATTTAATATATGCTTACAGCTCTTTCTAAATAGGTGGAACGAACAAAGTGATAGACCTTCAAAACCCAGACCAGTTCCGCACTTCCAGTACCGATAATGGCTTTGTGCCCAATGTCAAGTGGAGTTTCTCTGAGTCTCAGACTCGGCTATTCCCAGGCGGCTGGTCTCGGGAGCAAGTCATTCAGGACTTGCCCCAGAGCCATGACATTGCAGGTGCCCAGCAACATCTGAAGAAGGGCGCTATCCGCGAACTGCATTGGCACCGCGTGGTTAGTGGTCGCACCTGTACACTTTCTATGACATTTCACTTACTCTACTATCCAGGCCGAGTGGGGATTTGTCTATAATGGCTCCCTCCTATTGTCCGGTGTTGATGAAAATGGTGGCTTTACTACGGAGGTTCTTGAAACGGGTGATATATGGTATTTCCCCAAGGGTGTAGCGCATAATGTCCAGGGTCTGGACGATGAAAACGAGTATCTCCTCGCTTTTGATGACGGTGACTTTGAGAAGATTGGGTATGTTCCATCTGCACACCTTTATAAACTTAATATACTGACTAAGGAGAACTACCTTCATGGTCGACGACTGGATTGCCCATACCCCCAGAGATGTTCTCGCCAAGAACTTTGGTGTTGATCCTAAGGTCTTTGACTCGGTTCCTACAAAGTTCCCTTATATTCTCAACGGCACTGTCAGCGAAGAGGTTGACAATGCTCCTGTGGGTACGCTGAGAGGTGATGATTCCTACGTCTACCACACCTACAAGCACCCCTCGGAGCCTGTCCCTGGTCACGGTGGTACATTCCGCAAGATCGATTCCACCAACTTCCCCATTTCAAAGACTCTTGCTGCTGCGATTGTGGAATTGGAGCCCAAGGGCCTTCGTGAGCTCCACTGGCATCCTAACGTAAGTTTACAAACAAGTTTATGAGAGGAAGCTTGTATTGATCACCATCTAGGCTGAGGAATGGCTCTACTTCCACCAAGGTCACGCTCGTGCCACTGTCTTTATTGGTGACTCCAAGGCCCGCACCTTTGACTTCCAGGCGGGTGACACCGGTGTTTTCCCCGACAATAGTGGTAAGCTTACTTGTTCCAAGACCGATAAAATATGCTAATTCTTATTAAAGGACACTATATCGAGAACACCTCCGAGACAGAGAAACTTGTTTGGATCGAGCTCTATAAGAGCGATCGCGTCGCCGACATCTCCTTGGCTCAGTGGCTGGCTTTGACTCCTGCTGATACTGTTGCCAATGTCTTGAAGATTGATATCGAAGTGGTCAAGCAGATCAAGAAGGACAAGCAAATTCTTGTACAGGGCAAGAAATAATTTGACAGTGTCGAATTGTCGTGTCTGCAACTTGGCCTGAAAGCCTATATATCAGGTGTTCTCTTCTTAGGCTACGTTGAGTTGTATCTTACTTTCCTTTCTATATCTATTTAGGACTTCCCAGGTTATACATAGAAAAGTCTCTTGCACAAATTCTGCTTTTGTTTCCGCCTTTTTCTGCTGTCTACCTACACTTATGCTTGTGAGAACGGGGAGGAAACATCTCCAAGACATCTATGTTGTAAACAGAATATCTGAGACTACTAAAAAAGGCTACTGAAAAAGACTACGAAAAAGACATCACTTGTAAATATAATCCCGGAAAATAGTATATGACTCCCCAAGTAGATTTTCCGCGGTGATCTGTAGCTCGTCCTTCTATCCACCCTTGATCATGGTCAATAAATCCTTTCATCAGCCCATGTAACTCCTCCCCTACCTCTCGAGGCTCGAGCCAAGGACGGTGACCTTGGAAGAGTCATGGATCGACCCGAAACCCAGAGCTCCACTGCTCTACTGAAATTTGATGTCGCTGGAATTCCTAGAACATTCAAGGGCCCAGTATTACAATAGTGTCGAGTCCTTCCTTAGGTTTACTCTTGAAAAGAGGGATATCATTCTGGGGTTATGAAGTGGAATTCAACGGATTTACCAAAGCCAACTTGCATCAAGTGATGATAATGATGATTACTTGGTCAAAATAGCATTCGGAATGTCAATACATGCGGGCGATAATCTCTCTCATTGTTTGCTCGTCTTATTCTTTCCACCCCTAAGAACAACCTTGCGGAGCTTTCCAAGAGACGCGTAATCATTCAAGCGTACCTCCTATCATCTTATTAGTGATCATACTTTTCTTTGGGTAATTCGGAATATCGATACTTCGTGTGACTGATGTGAGAATTCCGGGAAAAGCGCTATACTAAGGTATCGATTTAGCACCGTCTTACTTGCCGGGTCTTTCGCTTCCATAAAAAACACAAGAGAAGCACAGAGAAACACAAAGGAAAGCAGATAAAATGCAAAAAAAGGACAATCAAGGTTGCCTGGTTTCAAGACAAGAGTAACCTGTTCAGACCTACCGCTTGAAACTATTGCTCAGTCGAGCGACAGGCACGGTGCTCTCAACTTGGTGTTGGAGATTGCCGGAAGATAAAGGCAAGAAATGGGTTGACTGAATGAAAGGCTTGCTTGAATTACCAGACGAAGCCGCACCAAGTAGACTAAAACCTGGGCTGGAAGTTGTACTCGAACCAAATGCCGAAAGTCCGAAAAATAACCGCGAACTCGGAAGAAGATGAAGGCCATGATGAGCATGGATCTAAAAAAACCGAGACCCAGGGGTGTCGACAAGACAAGGTCATCATGGCTTTTTCGTAATGAGACAGGGTCTACCTCATTCCATCATGGCGTACAAAAGGTCAAAGCATACAAAAACAAAAATAAAGCCGGAACAGGGTAGCAACAGCAAAAGATGCCAAAATGCCAGAATTGATTCGATATCCAACTCCGATAATGCGCTGATGCTGTACAAACACGAAAGACCCATGGCCAATTCCAACTCGACAAAACTCCATACAACCCGCCAACAATGCTCAAATCACACGCGCTCCTCGCGTGATGGACAAAAAATAATCAATAACAGAATGACAAAGAACATAGCCTAATTTTTAATCGCCTTCCTCCGCAATACACCAAGATTTTCCAGTCTGTCCCATGCTTTGTTCATGTCCGAGGACTCGTTGCCCAGTGACGGCCGAAGGTCTAGTCCGTCGAGGGTGTGGAGGGAGCCACTTGTGCCGGCGTAGAGCAGGAGCTCTAGCACTCTTCGGCGTAGACGTGTGGCTTGATCGAGGTGCCTTACGTACTTCACATCCGCTTGCGGATCGGCGAGCGGAACTGTGTATGGGTCGTTGACTTCGATCTCTCTGTCTGTCTTTGGCTCATCGCCGATGGTGGCGCGATGGGAGATCTGGTCATCGTTTCCGAGCTCAGCTAGAGCATCAGAAAGATCCCGGTGGGCTCCTTGGTGTCGGACGACTGCTTGTTCTTGGAACTTCAATTTCTTGCGATCGGCATTGCCATTTCCAGTCACTGCCGGAGGATAAAAACCAATAGTCAACGGGTTCCCGCGGAGATCAAGCTTGCGTAAGGAGCATGCAGTTCCTTTTCCGGTTTTTCCTAGCCGACTGAGAATTTGACAGACCCTTCTCATCCTTGAAAGACGGTTGCCGACGATCATCAGTCTGGCAAGACAGTTCATTCCAACCAGTGGCTCAACATCATTAACCGAATTGAAATTCAGATTTAGGACCTTGAGATTCGGGAAGCTCAAAGCAAAATCATTCGGAAGACTTTTCAATGTGCACGCAGCTAGGTCAAGAAGTTGAAGTCGTAGTAGTGGAGTAGAAGGGCAAACACTTTGGTGGGAAAGCTTGTTCGAGGACAAGAAGACTTTACGAACGTCCTTGACAAGCCCCAAATCAATATCTAGCCTGTGTTCAAGGTCCTTTTCTTTGGACGGTGTCTGCTCTCGGAGAGACAGTACCTCGAGATTGTGACAAACCTCAAGGCCAGTAACGGTAGAAAGGTGGTTTTGATCGAGGTAGAGAAGGCTCACAGAAGGGAAAGCCCGTGCATCTAAAGTCTCTAACTTATTTTCAGAGAGTTTCAGAGCGCGGAGGCTAATAAGGGAGGCAGACGAGTCAAAACGGCTGATCTGGTTGGCGCTGACATCGAGAGTAGCAAGTGACGGAAGCCATTCGACGTTCCGAACAGATGTCAGACAGTTGTGGCTCAAGTCAAGATCACGAAGGCGTGTTAGCTCGGACCCTGCAAAATCCACTGCAGCGATAGAGTTGTTGCTGAGCTTCAGGCTTAGTAGGCCATTCAGATCAAGAATTCCGTCTATGTTACGGATCTTATTGTCATTCGCCTTCAATTCCCTGAGATGAATCAAGCTTGCGAAGCCATCCAGCGTCTCAATATCGTTTCCTGAGACGTCCAAGTACTGCAAGTTGATCATGTGACTCCAGGGAGTCAGATTTGAGAGGCAGTTTCTAGGGATCTTGAGGGTTCTCAGGGTTGAGGGAATGCCACTCAATTGACCAATATCGTTATCAGAAACATCCAACTCCTCTAGCCGGGGGCAGAATTCGTTCAGCTTATGCAGCGTAATCAATCCCTTCTGGCGCAAGACAAGGCGGCGCACATGTTCCCAATAAGGCTCATAGGGTTCCACGTCAGTGATATGCTTGATCAAATCTTCAGTTGCCAATGCGAACGTCCCGTGCACTTGTCGCAAAGAGGACGGGTTTGTACGTTGAGCCACATAGCTCATTTCAAGGTTCAGGGGTTTATCGCCTTGGTTAACGGTAAAGTCCGCAAGTGGACTGAGGTGGAAGCTGTAGCTCGTGTCGGGCCCGGCACTCTGGAGGGGTATCAAAGAATTCTCTGGCCCGGTTCTGCCGGGCGTTTCTTGAACATGAAGTGAGTCATTCCTGCGGACGAGGCTTTGGTCATCAATAGTCTCCTCGTTCCTTTCCTCAATCCTCGAGATGGGACGTCGAATGAATGGCTGCCCACCGACTGAAGTTTGACGCCCCGTGGGAGGAGCGGATGACCGTATTGGGCCATTCTCGTAGTCTGCTGAGGCCATATCTTCCTCTGGCACAACTTCGTGGTAGGTGTGGTTCGCATTCGGGTCGGACTGGGCGTTATCAGGCTCGCCGCGAGAAGAGGGGCGTGAAACAGGGGGCGATGAGAGATTGACTGTAGCGACACGTGCCTGTTTTCCAAGAGATCGGGGGTCTTCGAAGACAACGGCTCCTCGCGTTGGGCTTCATGTTTTTCTTGTTCAGAGGTTTTTCTTTCTGCGGCCTCGTCCGTGCCCCATGATGTAGCTCTTGTCCCAGTGTTAGGAACACTGGACGTGAACCGAGTGAATCTTGATTGGTCTGAGCTTGCACCGAGGGATGGTTCTCCGTCCCTTGTGTGTGGTCGAACATCAGTTTTCTTTTTGTTCGCGGCCGAAGGATTGCGGGCCTTTATTTGCTCTCGATCAGCTGGGGCGTCACTCTTTGTGGGAGAACTAAGGCCATGAACTCGCATCATCTCCTGAAGCTCGTCTACACTAAGATCCGGAATGTCCCTGAACGGATCATCGGTCTCCTCGGGGGGTTCGGAGATTGGCGCCTGTGGTTCTTCTACCTCGTCTTTCACCCACTGATTCTTCGAGCGGTCATACTTGAAGCCATTGACCTCATTTGGAATCAGGTGGGCTACAAGATCAGAAGCCAGCATACCCTTGACTTGGGAACTTTGCGAAGAGCCTGTGGGCACGGAGGTGACGCTGAAGCCAGACATTTGTGTGTTGATAGTCATCAAATCCTGGGCGATGTTTTCCGCCGTATCATCAGTCATGCCACTTGTCTTTCGTTTCCTCGGTCCGTGAATTCGGATATTCTGTGAGTTAGATTCAGCGAGCTCGGTTTGGCCCTCGTCCTGGACATGACGACCATGCAGGGACATTTCCCGGTCATTCGGGTCATCTTGCTCCTGGTATTTCTTCAGGTGACTCAAAATCATTGGGTTCAACTCCTTCACTTCTCTCAGCTTGCGAAGATCCGTACCATCGCGACTCGGAGGGCGAGAAAAGGCTTCCCGCGTGGATTCGTCGTCGCTGAAGTCGTCGGCTTCACTTTCCACATCAGACTCATGTACGCTTGTCAATCCAGCCGCGCCTCGTCCTTTAGATCTGATGAGATCCATGATTTTGGTGGCCTCGTTTAAATAATCCTGGGTGGTGATAGATCCTTTTCGTGAGGTATCGCTAGTCCCAGTAATCTTCACTAATGGAACGTCGCCGTCAAGGGAAAAAGAATCAGAATAATCGTTATTCTCAAAGTTGGATTCGGAGAAATCCCTGTGCGGTGCAATATGGCTTTCCCCGTCCGTTCGTATTTGGCTTGGTGTGGGCGTTCGAGGTCGCTGCCTCGATTGAGAAAGACCCGGCGGAGCAAGATAATCACTATTTTCGAGCTGTACACCATGTTGCATAAGACTTCGTTGCAACAGTGACATGCTGTCACCGTACTTCTGAGGCGAACCGCCATTGGTATTGTGATAGGGCTCGGCGCTGTTGTTTCTCATGATTGTCCGGCGCCGTTTGGGGGTGGGGTCCATGCCAGGGGCCCGGGGTACTCGTTTGACATCAGGGGCCATATTTTCCTTGTTGTTCGAGCGACTCGCATGCTGCACATCGTCAAAGAAATCCTGGCGCATCCAGGCAGATGGTTTCCTGGTGAACCCCGAGCTAGCTGATCTGCTGTAATGATACAACCCTTGCTGCGAAGGGCCCCGAAGATATTTCTGCCGGGTTGATGATCGTTTGCGCGAAGATGGGCGAGAGCCAAACCCTCCGGCCTCATCGTACACCAATTTGGGCTCGTAAGGGCTAGTGTCTGAGAAATCAAATTTGTCCAACTCGCCACCCCCGAATTGGCTGATTCGATGTACAGCATTCCGAGATCCAAGACGTTCGTTTCGCCTGGGAGAGATCTCCTGCAATGGTTCATGTCTGGCATTTAAGAAGCTGCGGTTTTCGCCTTTTCTTCGCGCTTCTTCTGAGGGCGAAGGGGGCTCCTCTCCCTCTGACGTGTCGCTAAAATTGTCTTCAAATTGGCTCATGCGTCGTAGAAGTCTGTTATTAGTGAATGTGTCATGGTTACCGAATAGCTTCAATGGACTTCCTGATGACGGCATCTTAGCCTCATTCTCTGCTCCAGCTGTGGATGGCCGAACATGAGATGAGGAAGGACGCGGTAAACCAGGTGATGCGGTGTGAGGAGGATTGAACAAGGGAGAACTTCGGATTTTAGAGTTGGCGAGGGTTGTGGGTGACAAACGGTGGGAAGGAAAGGGCGAAGGGGAGAATCGCCGAGGGAAAGAGCGGTTTCCTCGACTGTTGAAGTCCACCGTCCCCATAGACAGATCTTGGGGTAGAGAATGACTGGTCACGTCCAGCAGGCTGTCCTCTCGTGGAGAACCATCCGCGTGAGGTTCGTTATTATTATAGAAGAGGAAGCTATCGCTTGCGGGGGAGTCCGGGCGACTTTCATTTTCGATAGACAGGCTTTCCAACTTGTTGGTGACTTGTTTCAAGGCGGACTTGATGACTTCTGAAGTCCCATTGCCATCAACGGTGTTGTTCCGGGAGAAGGTTATGGGTGTGATTCCCTCGTTGCGCAGGTCCTCCAACCCACTAGCTGTCCGTAGCTGTGTATTTCCCTGTTGGGAGAACCCTTCCTGGTCCCAATCCACGTCCAGGTTTGCATTATTCTCCCAAGGATTACGGTTGACGGTTCCTTCCGGTGATCGATCGTCATTGTCCATTTCATCCTCATCTACGACGCGATCGGGGTCATTGTCGCGACTGTTCTGCTCGTCTTTATCCTGTCGCGAAGGTGTGTCGGCGAAATCCCAAAGAAGGTCATCCTGCTTCGTAAACGGGGTAGAGTCTTGTGGCGCCGCTGCAGCACCAGGTGTAGGCGGCTTGAACACGCTTTCAAGTCCCATCGGCGCGAACAGGTCCCGTTGCTCGCCCGCCGCGATTTCCCCGCGCACTAGTCGCCTGCGCCATTCTGGTGTACCCTCCTTTGTGTCCTTGCCCTTCGTTTTGATCTGAACGGTACCATCGAATTCGGATTGCGTGGATGCTTTGGAGACGTTCGACACCGATCGTAGAGGGGAGCGCGTATCCATTGCGGGCTGTCTTCGTGCCGCACCCGGGGTGGGCTTGGGGCTGACCTTGGGACTTCCCTTGGAGTAAGTTCTTGGGTTGGTCTTGGGAGTACTGGATTTCGATTCACTCGGGTAGGGCGATCGTGGTTTGCGTGTTTTGGGTGTTCGGGGAGTTTTCGGCGTCGGAGGTTCTCTTCTATGGAAATGGCATGGTCGGGTAACCTTGTCTTTTTTGTTGCTTCCCGGTGATTGTTGTTCTAAGGAACGCCGCGCAGGGACAGGAATGCGACTGGGAGTTCCCTGCTGACTGGTCTTGGGCGACTCTGGTACAGGTAAAACAGGTATTGGACTGATTGGCGAAGCTGGAGATGGCCAGTCATCAGACAGACTGTCAAGCCATGGTTGGTTGCTCATTTTTGTGCCGGTACACGTTCCGGGTCAAACAAAACAAGTTCACATCAACATCAACATGAAAAGGCATAGATCAGAGCTAATAAAAGAACAAAATAAGAAGAACGGTGGGAACAGTGCGGAGATGCGGTGTATCTCCACTATGGTAAGCTCCAGGGCTCCCTTGTTTATTATCTTTTGTTTACCTTTTTTTTCCCGTCCAGATCAAGACTATATATAACAATAATAGTACAATAATATAATATACTAATATATAGATTTTTTAAGATCTATCATATACTTCACCCTAGATTCCACTATTTTAATTCTATTATGGGGGATCCAAAATATCTCCCCAGATTCAAGCTATCAAGTCCCTTTTAGTCCCACTTAGTCCTGCTTGGTTGTTTTTATAAGAAATTCGTTAAAAAAAAAACTAGTTGAATAGATCTCTAAGGCTGATATCAGGTACTATATAATATTCAGAGGGGACCTCAGGATATTTTAACGTAGATAGAGTACAAATTCACAGTGCTAGTTAGTCCCACTTATATATATCTGCAAGGCTTGATCGCCAACTAGACTATTAGACCCTTTAACAATTCCAATGCTGGTTCGAATATACATTTAACACCCGCAAGGGCGAGAGTTCTTTGAATAGAAAGGAATAATTGAAATACTGCGTGGGAACCCAAATATGTATTGTTCGTGTCTAACTCCTAGGATATTGTCTCCCTCAATAATGAATGTTACAGTATAAAACATGAAATGCATATCAATAGTTTTAAATAATCAGTCTCTCGAACGAGTACTTGCCAACCGCCTTGCGGCGCAAGTAACCAATTTCACGGCTAGTGCGGTTCTTGACCTCACCCGTGGACTTTTTGGTCTTGGTGCGGGACACGTCATTGGAGGCAGCCTTGAGTGACAGTGGTAACATCTTGCCACCAGCATCGCCATCGTAGCCGTCCTCTCCCTCACCGGGACGGGTGAAGACCATCAAGTCGGCGCCATTGAGCTTCTCGTAGCGAACCAGGTGGGACGGACCCGAGGTCTCGGCATCCATCTTGGCCAGGGCATCCTCGGAGGTAGTAGCGGGCGTGTCAACCTGGTCCGCAAAGCGGAGGTATTCGCGCAAAACACCCTTGAGATGGGTTGCCTCTTCGACTCCTGCAAGCGCGGCGGAGACTTCAGACTTCATGTCCGCAATCAATTCCATTTCGCGACTAGCAGCGGCAGTGACCGAGTCGGAGTCCTCAAAGTCACCCGCTGCTGGGATGGCCGAGATCCAACCGGATGGACCCACGGCATCCACAGAGGCAGTGATGAGATCAATGATAACATTGAGAGAAAGGGCGGGGGTGATTTGGTCAAGAGTAATAGGTGTAGGGGGATTTTCAGTGAACCGAGAAGTGTAACCTCCGGTAGCGAGGGAAAGACGGAGATGGTGGACCATAGAAATGAGCTCAGTCCGCGAGAGATTGGAGCGGAGGGAGTGGACGACAACTGATACGGGCTGCGAGTGGATCTTTTGGAGAGAGGTGTTCAGGCCCGCGAAGATATCCTTCAGGGTTGCCGCTTCGGCCCCCAGCTGTTTTGAAAGTTCCTGGGTGGGAGTGGCAAGATCACCGTTTGTGATGGCACGAGCTGTCTCCTCAAGAGTTCCAGAGTGGGAGCGTGCCTGGTTCAAAAAGGCCTTGAGTGCGTAGGCCAACTCATCGGAGGAAATCAGAGTGGGACCCTCGAGCACTTGGTTGACCTGCTTCAATGAGGGATCTGAATCAAGGAGGGCCTGGATGAATGATCCTGTGGGGAATGGCTGTAAAATGCGTGGCTTGCATGCACGACGGAGCGCAATCTCAACATTGTCGAGGGACAGATGTCCCAAGCGAATGAGCCAGTCGCAAGTAGTCGGCGGCCACATGGCAACACGGAGTTGAGACGAAGGGGAGGCCGACATTGTATCATTTGTGGCAGACTCCTCGACAGCGAAAATTTTAGAAAGCAAGAAAAGAGTTGCTTCGGGGTTGACATACTGCCCACGGACCGGGAGCGTTGTCGAGGCATCGGAGGTACTGAAATAGGTGAGAACGGCATTATCGAACAAGTCGATGCTCTTCGTCTTGGTTGCCTTCTCCACCGTCTTTGTAAGCTGAGTCCATTTCTCAACCTGCTCCGGTGATGTGAGCCGAAGGGAGGCCATGTTGTCAGATCGGTGCTTCTTCGATGCGGTATCCCACTGTGCACCAGAAGAACCAATACCTCTGCCGATGGCATCGATGAGCAGGCTATCTCTAGTCCGCTTCAGCGAGGAGCTGGGCGCACTAGGAAGAGAGCTCAAGTCGAAGGCAATAAGAGTGTTGCCCTTGGTTGCGACAGCAATTCCAAGTTTGGCGAAGTAGCTGATAAAGTTTGTGGGGGTCTCTGGGGTCGACCCAGTGCTTGACAAAAGATCACCGGCTGGAATGCTGCGCTGGACAGAATGGTACTGGGTATCATATACCGCCACAAGAGATTGTTGTGCTCCAATCACGGATTGTGGAGAAATGCGCATGACTGAGGAGAACTCCTCATCGTCCAGGACAAACTGTGATGTGACGGAGGGAGAGTACTGAGAGAGATCAACGTTGATGAATCCCCTTTCGAAAGAAAGGTTCAACCCTGCCGAGCCAGAATGGAAGTTCCATTGCATAGCATTTCCATTGGTAGTTTCCAGGCCGCTCACATCCGGGATGTGGAAAGTTTGTAGATGGCGCAGGCGCTGACTTTCGTCCAATCGTGACTCTGACTTCGCATGCGCGGGGACTGAGAACATCTGCACAATGACGTCCTTGAGGGAGACTCGGTCGGTGTTCTTGGGTTGGGATACCAGAAGCAAGATAGACGGCTCGTTGGTTCCTGAGGTTGTCAGATCGCCCAGCGCCAGCAAAGCCAAATCCTGTCGTCTTTTGAACAAAGCCTTCTTCGCATCATCAAATTCAACCAAGAAGCTGGATTGGACATTGTGAGTAGAGCAAACCTTGGCAATCTCACTGTGCTGAATACTCCATCGCTGGGTCTTCAGATCCGACGACAGCCTACGTACACGACCATCCTCGTGGACTGCCAGAATATCAAACGGGTCCGTCTCCCCTTCGGCATCGGCACTAGAGGGAACGATGCCTACAAAAGTTGTGGGGCTGGTCGAGTCGGTCACGGTGGTAGTCGAAGAAGAAATGACCGGAGCACTTGAGCCGTTGCTGCCGATCTCCTCCACAAAACACTTGATCTGATGTTCTGGCTTAGTGACAGCAGTATAAGTCTGTCTTCGGACTGTTGATTTTTTCGACAATTTTCTGCGAACTGAACATGGGCGGCAAGAGAAAGTAGATTGCGGCGGGACGGCGTAGGAAGTCACGAGTTTGGGTGTTTGAACCTGATGAAGATTAGAGTCAGATACACCCGAGCGGACACCAGGGAAGTAGAAAGCATACATTGTAAATGTTCACAGCCTCGCCATCTACGGCAACTGCGACTTCATAGCGCTTGCGTTTTTTCGCATCGGCGAGACTAAAGACATCGCCGATACGGGTTTTGCCAGTAGAAGCGTGAAGGGGGCGAGGCAATTGCGCCAGGACAGATGGGGACTGCAAATCCATGACGAACTGAATACCAGGAATCAAAAAGTGCTCGATTTCCTGTCCCTTCAAAGCGTGTGATCTTTTTGATGCAGACCCATCCAATTTGGAAATCTGAAAAATTTTCGGGATTACATCGGGCCGGCAATCCACCCCCTAGGCCATATCTGGCTAGCGTTGGTCCGTGAAGCAATCACCCTGACATAAGCAATTAACGCGCCCCGGGGCCTTTCGCGTCGGACGTGTTTGAAGCTATGGAGACCGACCTTGACTTCACTTTTGCTTCATGCAATCGCACCACACTTACCACCAATAACCTATCATTTCAATGCTATATCTGAGATACTGCTTGCTCCCTGATCTCTCCTCAGGGATCAACTGATTGTCCATCATATGAGCATCATATCCAACCTACCGATGGCTATGGGAACCGACGAACAGCAAGTCATACATCCCTTCTTCCGACAAGGTCAGAATGTGTCCCATAGCCGCAGGTGTATTCGAGCTTACAATGTCTAGAATTTGGAGTCTCGGTCAAATCTACACCTTTAAATGAACCAGTCTCGGGCGTGAATACCCACGCACACGAGCCTCGACCAATAAGCAACCAAAGCTCTACGCATGAGCAGGAGCTACACACCCCGGAGAATCACGATTCAAATGTCTCCAAAATAAACGATGAAAGTTCCGAGTGTCTTGACGAAGACTTAAATGAAGATCGGAGGAAGAGGCGCAAAACGGACAAAGGCCAAACCACCGAACCTAGAACTACTTCCAGTGCAGGTCTCTCAGAATGGCTCGGCCACAGCGTGACCAACAATGCGCCTTCATCGACCGATCATCCTCTCGAGACCGAAATCGATTTGTCTATACCTCACCCCGAGGCTCCGCTGGCGGAGACCGAAGTTCCTGCAGATGAAATCCAACCATTGACATCTGCCGAGAACGAGAAAGGAGAATCCCTAGTCGCAAGAACCTCTGCAAGACAGAAAACCCTCAGACTGAATTCGAAGGGAGGGTTCCTCTCGTCGCCCGCCTCCAGTCCTCCCAGAGAGACAAAAAAGAAAACGACAGGGAAGCGGGGGAGGCCGCGAAAGGTTGAGAGCAAGGTGGTGACGATGAAGTATAGTGTTGCCACAGAAAAGAACCTCGGGAAGTTGATCGATGATATCCTAGATGGCCGAGCGGTTCAAAAACCCCCTGCCATTATACCCTCTGTTCAGCCGCGCAAGACGAAAAGCCAACCCCGGAAGCCCACACACCCATTTTTCAGCAAGAAATCCGCACAGAAACCCGGGCTTGCGAGTTCGAATGGATCTCAATCGGAAAATCCAGATACCAGTGCGAGCGGGTCCTCCAGCCAAACCACAGCTGGGGCCCCGGACAAGAAGCGGGTAGTACCAGCTTCGGGCAGTTCGTTTACTAGCTTCCCTCGTCGTGTCTCTAAGTTCCCCGAACTGCTAGATCCCCTTTGGCCACCGCAAGATCTTGTGCATGTCAGCGACGCTCACCTCCCGCCAGATGTTAATGGTCGTGCCTGGCATATTACCCAGGACCGAAAAAAATCGAAGATTGCGGCTATCTCAATTAGAGACGAAGAAAACGTTCTTCTAGCTGGAACAGCTGAAGCAAGGAGAATCGCCCGCCTGCCCAAACAGGAGTACGATGCCCTCGCTATTCTCCGCCATCCCGTGCGACATGTTGCTAGCAGTCAAGTCTTGCATACGGCAATGGAAAGACAGATGTCGTGGTCCTCACCAAATCGCCAATTTCCTTGGAACTCTTCTAGTCCACCGCTTGCCAGACTCAGATCAGCCTTACTCACGTCAGTTTCCGCTTTCGACTGTGCAACCTATGAACCGCAACTTTGGACGCACAAGTACGCCCCTCAGTCAGCTGAAGATGTCCTTCAGCTTGGCCGTGAACCACAGATGCTTCGAGACTGGCTCCGGCACCTCAAGATCACAGCAGTGGACACCGGAAAATCTTCGAAGGAGCATGCGAAAACGAAATCAAAATCGAAACGGGATAAAAAGGCGAAAAAGCGGCAGAAAGCCGACAAACTCGATGGTTTCGTGGTGTCAAGCGAAGAGGAGGCCTCTGAGATGGACAATCTCTCTGGCTCAGATGACGAGTTGGCGGGCGGCGTGACCACAACACCTCAAAGGACAGTCGTCAGGTCGGGTGACATAGCATCTGGATTACATGGCGTAGAAAAAAGGCTCCAATGACCAACGCGATTCTTCTTAGCGGCCCGGCTGGCTCCGGCAAAACCGCTTCTGTCTATGCCGTTGCAAAAGAGCTTGATTTCGAAATCTTTGAGATAAATGCTGGAAGCCGACGAAGTGCCCGAGATATGTTGGAGCGAGTCGGAGATATGACACAAAACCATCTTGTTCATCTCCTCAACGAATCCGAGAATTCAACAAACAACGACAAGGATTCTGCGAAGCAAAACAAGCTGAAGAGCTTTTTCAAAGGTCCACCCTCAAATCCTAGCAAGCCGGTCTCCCAGTCTGGCGAAACTAGCCCTAAGCCTGAAACTGCGCCCAGACGCCCCCGTGAACAAAAACAGTCTTTGATCCTGCTCGAAGAAGCCGACATCCTTTTTGAAGAAGATCGACAATTTTGGACTGGTGTCTTGACTCTCATCAGCCAATCTAAACGACCGATCGTCATCACCTGCAACGATGAGAGTTTGATTCCTACCCAGGATATGTCTCTTCATGCCATACTACGATACCGGAAGCCTGCTCACGACTTCAGCGTCGACTACTTGCTCTTGGTTGCCGCCAATGAGGGGCATATGTTAAAGAGAGAAGCCGTCACCAGACTTTATCAAGGATCCGGAATGGATCTTCGGAAGTCATTGATGGATCTGACCTTCTGGTGTCAGATGGGTGTTGGTAGCAAGAAAGCGGGCTTGGATTGGCTGCTTCCTAGTTGGCCCCCTGGGTCAAACGTGGATCATGATGGGGACCGACTTCGGGTTCTGAGCCTCAATACCTACGAGCGATATATGGGCTGGTTCAATCGTGATATGATTCTGACCCAAGGCTCGTTGGATGAAGAGACGGAAATCATCCGCAACAGCCTTCAATCGTGGGGTCTCGGCCTGCAGGATTCCGAAGACATGGCCGGGAAGAGTGATGTTGAACTTCTACCCCCCGACCAACTTCAGTCTATTTCCAAGACAACGCAACTTGACATGTTGTGCCGGGAAGCGGATTACTATGACATGAGGAGTTCTCTCGACATCCTTTGCTCCAGTCTGTCCACGGACGCGAGAGCTGTAAGTGTGATCGATACGTCGACTGAAACACCAGCTAATAGTTGAACAGGATGCTGTTGATATATCTGCCCCACCGCCGCCAGAAGGCTATAGATCCAACTATCTCGACAATTACCCGCTCCTGCATACAGAGCTGCGAACGGAGTATTCATCACTCAGTGAAACTGTTAGTAGTACCTTTGATGCGTTGATAAGCAGACATTTCCGTCCCACAGCTGCCGAGGACTTGGAATCTTTATACGCGAACCGAGTCTTGAGCAAATCCATCGTCTCTGCAATGCCCCCGCAAACCCCTCCATCCACTCTCCCTCAATTCCAGCGCATCTTTGAACCCATCATGCGTGCCAACTACTCAAACCCCACACCAACCGCCCGTCACGCCCCCTCATTCGAGAACGGACTCGCCCCGATCACGGAAGACTTGGCCCCGTACATCCGCGCTATCATGGCCTTCGATGGTCGCCTCCAGCAATACCGCGAGAGGTTGTTTGAGCTCACGGCGCAGGAGCACGGGCATGGCGAGAAGCGTTCACGCACGACACGTGCTAGCCGTGCAGCCCTCGAAGGAGGTGACAAAGCCTCGACGCGCAAGGAAAGGTGGTTCGCCCTAGACACGCCTTACTACAAAGTGCAAGGCACCGCAGGGCCCGAGTGGCAGCATGTCTTGTTTCAGATGGGGTATTTCCATGTTCAGCCTATGGTTGAGGCACCCCCCGAGCGCAGTGACCATGTCTTAGGCGATCAGGCCATGGAGAATGCCGAGTGATTGGTCTCGTGTCTCGTGGCACGATCCAATGTATTATGAAAACGATCTCAAGATGAATGTATAGCTCCCTGTTTCCCAATCTACTGTACTATTTATACCAGACTTGAAAAATTGAAGTGACATCTAGCTACAATAAAAAATCGCTCTGTGTCATGGTCTTGGATCGCTCGAAAGTAAAAAAAAATACATAACCTTAGAAGCAAGACCTCGGGATCGCCCGCAAACCGAAGAAACCGTCCCGACCTGCAGGAATCTGACGAAAGTCAGCATCTGAAACCCCCAAGTTACTTTTACTGTTTATCAAAACTTACAAAAAGATCAATCCAACTACACAACCACCCTAGCAGCCACAGGCTTTTGCACCTGTGGCTCATGACTAGGGATCTGAGCAAGGTGATAGGGGCCGTGATCCTGCTTAAAATCAAAGATCGATTCGCCGGAGCTACGTCGCGACTCGGAAGCATAGGGACGTCCATTCGATTCTTTCGATGGTGGTGCTCCCTTAGCGCCAAAGCGCTGTGTCGCGTCTCGAGCATAGAATCCTGAGTCGCGTTGACGATCCTCCAAGTCTTCCTGGACATCAAGGCGCTTGCGCCTACGGTAAAGGAATAGCAGGACAGTAAGGGCAATTAGGAGGAGACTGTGAGATTGTTAGTTCGTGGTTTGGGTACGGTGGAAAAGGGCGGTGATGGAGGCGGTAATGCACATACACTCCTGTTATGCCGGCGGGAATGCCGATGGTTATTGCGGAGCTGGTGGGCTTTGTGCAGCTGGACATGGTCTCATCGCCATTGCAGTCGCGGCGGAAGATGGAAAGGAGTGTGGGAAGCATGATGAATTTTATTCAAAGTTTTTAAAAGATAAAAAGAGTGTATTTGAGAACCAGTAAAGGAGTGAAGGGGTTCTTAGAGAAGGGATACAAGGGAGGAAGAAATCACCAAATGAGTGTGAATAAACAGAATGTCTCGGAGAAGAAAAAAGAAAAGCAAGCGGCACAAACGAGAAAGCTATGTTCCGGCGTATCGCTTCTTATGACCGTTGTGCGGAGTTCAGAATTGAAGATGTTGATTCGTCCCGGAGGACTGAAAAGGGGGTGGCTTATATTGGTTTAAATATGGGGTTACATTCCTCATATGTTTCTGGATTTCCTCTTCTTTAATGTTAATGAACAGAACGGAGTACTCAGTATAAAGTTGATACTATGTAGAAGGATAAGATGGAGGCTCTCCAGTGATCTTCCTTAATATTGGCCGGAACCTTCGGGGATTGTCAGTTCCACTGTTATTTGATTGGCCTTAAATACTTTGATCAGATCAGATTGCAATCTTTTATGTTTAATACAAAAATAGTATATTGCGTTTGTTTCATTGGGGGATCATTCTGTACTAATCCTTTGCTGTTCATATTTTGGGTACCTGAGAAATAAGGCCAAATATAACACCTCAGGCACCCATATTCTGTCGAATACACTGGTATCCTGAAATGTATGGGTCCAATCAATGGTGTTAAAATCTCTGTATTTCAGTATCCCTTTTCCTAGCAATTTATATGGATTACGGATTACTAATTCAAAATTACTGCACAACCTGGATTAATTAAATCCCCGGTATGCCGGTCTGTATGCTCCGACACACCCCCTCAGCGATGCCAGTATGGGATTGCTGGAACCCCACACACCTCGGCATACTGATCTCTGTTTCTTCATGCTATCAAGTGGCCTATATCCACCATATGAAGCATTTGAATGAAGGCTTCATGCTTTTGCCGAGTAAGCAATTTCGTGAGTCCATCGGCTGCCATGCTTGCTGTGGGCACCCATTTCACCTGTATCCTCCCTTCTTTGACTTCCTGTCTCAGCCAGTGGCGATGGATGTCGACGTGCCTAAGCTTTGTTTCGAAGGCTGTATCCTCGCTCTTCAATAGGCTGATAGTTCTCTCATTGTCACAATCGATGGTCAATTCGTGGGAGGGGTTGAAACCAAGGGTATTAAGTAGTCTCCTCCACCATTGAAGCTGCTTTGCTGCTTCGGAAAGCCCGAGTAATTCGGCTTCGGTGGTGGAAGTGGTGACTGTGGGTTGCTTGCTCGCCTTCCAGTCCACTGGGCCACCGTACACTTGGCAGATATACCCAGCTGAGCTCTTTCTATCAGAATGATCCCCGTACGAAGCATCACTTGCGAATTGCACCGAGTCTATCCCCGAACCTACACCGTATTCAATGGCAAGACACCGGGTGGAATGTAGGTAGGATATCACCCGATCAGCTGCTTGCTGGTGCTGGGGACCTGGGTTTGTTAGGTATTGCGCTAGGCGTGCGGTGGCCTTTGCGGCGTCGGGCCTCGTGATAGTGGTGGCATACCCAGCAGATCCCACCTTTTGCTGGTAAAGAAGGGTCTCTTTCGGGGTGGCCACCCCCTGAAATGGGGTCAAATCGACGACTGGTAGTGGGGTATAAACCGGTGGTCTATCTATCAGATTGTACCGAGTCGCGATGCTTGTCACATAGCTATCTTGGCATAGCCATAGCTTCTTCTGCTCCCTATCCCTGATGATTCGGATATTTAGGAACCAAGCTGCTTCTCCATGATCAGTCAATTCCTAGTGGGATTCTAGATCTCGTTCAAGCTGCTTTGCTTTCTCCCGTACAGATCTGTGGCTGGCGATCAAGATATCGTCCACATAGAAGAAGACTAGTAGTCCTTCTCCTATAAAAACACATGGGTCTTCAGGTGCTTGCTGTAACCCTAATTTACGGAGTACGCTGGCTGCTTCTTGTTGCCATAGCCTAGGCGAGACTCGTAGACCGTACAAAGCTCGGCGGAGCTTCCAACACTTGCCTGGAATCTGGAAACCTTCAGGCATATAAGTGTATATATCCTTGTCCAATTTGCTGTTCAGGAACGCCGTCACAGCATCTCTTTGTCTTAAATCGAGGTCAAAGGCAGCGACTAAGGCGAAGATCATCCTTGCTGTCCTTGCTGCTAGGGTGGCAGCCCTCTTTTCTTCATGAGAAATGGTTTCTAAATCTCCTCGTACACAGATACGAGCCTTTAGCTTGATAAGATAGCCATCTTCATCAAATTTGTACGTAAAGACCCATAGCAAGGGGAGTATCTGCTTGCCTCTATCCTTTGGCCTTTCTGCAACCTCGTAGGTATCCTTCTCGGTTAAGGAATTGATCTCCTTTCTCATTGCTGCGAGGAAGCCTTCTTGGAAAGGATGATTCATAACATCCTTCCAGTGCTTAGGGACTGGTGGAAGATCATCTCGATGACGCCGGATCTCTGGCTTCTCAGCGTATAAGCCTGCTGCAAAGGCGTGTCGTACTCCTGGCGGGTCTTCTTCTGTAGCCAAAGTGGAGTAGGCGAAATCCTGGTCTCGTCTCGCCTGACGTCTTCGCTTGCCGCTGATAATATTGCTTGCGTCAATTCCACCGGTGATCTCCCTGCTTGGTGCTAGCAATTCTGCCTGTAGCTGCCTTTCTAGCTCATCTTCCACGTCGGAAATAGCTTCAGAAATAGCTTCGTGGTGGGTCAGGTCTCCGTCTGGTATATCCACCCCCTGACCTGGGCCAGCATCGGCTTCGGATTCTCGTTCTTGGGGCGGGGTAATCGGCAGCGGAGGAAGGTCTTCGTCGCTTGGAAAAGCACCTGGCGGTGCTTGAGGTTTCTGGATTTTGGGGACTCGGTGAATCGCTTGTGAGACTATCGGTGAGGGTATTGATATATCTCGATTCACCCCCTGAAGTGGGGTAGTCTCCCTATTTATCCCTTCTTGCTGGGGATTTTACTGCTGATTCCGCTGGGTATCTGGTTGCTGGGAGTCATCTAGATCCCGTGGATCCCTTTCCTCTTGCTCCCTAGTCTCCTGACTAGTAAGCAGTTGATTTATCACCTTGACAACCTCGTCGGCGGTGAGTTCCTATGGTTCTTGTACAATTGGCATAGGAATTGGCTGATATCTCTCATAATCAGGGGTGTATCTCCGTGTTTCGTCGATGACTGCGTCCCTAATAGGCTTCACTTTTCCACTATGTGGAAACCAGATATTCCAGATATTTGATGCCACATATCCCACCAAGAAACCAATCTCCGCCCGTGGATTCATCTTGTCGGTTCTCACTTGCTTCTCAATCCTACAATAGGCCAAGCTCCCGTACAATCTAACATTGGATAGGTTGATTTTAGGTGCTTGCGGTGCAAACTCCTTTCGTACCTCATCCCACGGCACGACCCAGCGATTCTCGGCGGTGATATACGACGGCGTACGGTTCAAAATCCATACTGCGGCTCTCGCAAACTCCGGCCATAGGTCCTTTGGCAGCTTCCCTTCTAGCGCAAGCATCCTCATTTTGCTTATAATCATCCCGCCAGATCTCTCAGCATACCCATTCATCTCAGCGTGCCCAGGGGGAGTGTGATATATCAGGATACCATCTGAGCTGAGGCTATACTCGGCGGTGTTTCCGGCGGAGGACTCATTGTCATAGTGGAATGCCTTGATTGGCAGCTTCCACTGGTTCCTTGCTAGTTCCACAAAGCGATTGATTGCTAGCTGGCACTCAGGCTTTAGTTCGTGGGTCATAATCCAGTGAAACCTCGGTCCTTCTAGATAGAAGTGGGATATCCAGCGGTGCTTATTGTATGCTGGTTGTATCTGGATTAGATCAAAATGGACCCTTCCAAAACGGCCAAAGGTGCGTCCAACTGGTCGTCTTGATATCTGCTTAGGTGCTCGCCCTAAGTGGCAGGTTTGACATAGGGATTCTTGCTCGGTGGACTTCTTCTCTTCATCATCGAGGACAACCCCTTCCACCATAGTGGTGAGTTTCTTCATCCTCTTACGATCAATATGGCCCAATCGCCGGTGCCATAGCTCGCTTGATGCCTTTGTTTCTAGGGGTTCCACTGACTTCCTCTGTGTGAAATAGGCTTGCTGAGGCGGTGCTTCCCCGGGTTCGTCGAATATCCAAAGGTTGAATTGATCCCATAGGTTCACACAGACGACTGGCCTATCGTTGGGGTCCCGGATACAGTTTGTACGTTGGCACCATATCCCCCCTTTCTTCATCAGCATCGAGTACGATACTAGGTTTGTGTGGAATCCTGGCGAATACAGTGCATCGCTTAGGGTGATCTCCATTCTCCCTTTCACTGGGTGTCTTCCCACCAATTTAACCGTACCCTTCCCTAGCACTTCGGTGGTGCTGTCTCCAGTGGTGAGGTAGGTGGTTTTTGGGGTATATTGGACGAAGAGATCTCGATTATTGCACACATGGGAGCTAGAACCGGTGTCTAAAATCCAGCGGTTCTTTAGGATAGGATCGCTTTCCTTAGCAAGGGATAGGGCACGCTGGCTAATCACTTCTTGCTTCTTCTGATCCGCACCTTGCTGCTTATCCTTTTGGTGCTGGACGGTGGTCGCAAAGCTGACTTGGTTGGCGGATTCGGCTTGCCTTAGCTGATTTGACTCTGCTATGGTTTTCTCCACCCATTTCTTCCAGGCCTGGTTCTTTGCTAACACCTGGGTTGCTTTCTCTAGCTTCCTCTCGCTGATTTTCAGCCCTTCCGGTCGAATTTCCTCGTTTAAAACCCAGCATTCGGTGACCCTATGCTTAGGATGGGTGTTACCACAGGGGCATTTCCTCTTTTCGAAGGGTAGGTTCTCTTGTGAAGCCTGTGAAGCCTGGGGTTTGGCTTCAGGCTTAGCTTCTGGGTGCCCTTGCCAGGTGGAAAAGGCGCTCTTCGGGGGCGAGGTTGATGATACCTTTAGCACCCCTATTTCTCTATTCATTGCGCGAAAAGATTCGATGAGATCTCGGGTATCGTACACCTTCTTGTCGATGACAATCTCTTGGTATTTACCCTGCCACCAGATAGGAAGCACTTCTTTCACTGCGTGTAGGAAGTCCCTATTGGCATCTCCAACGTTGATACCAAGGCTGATCGCTTGCTCTCTTAGGGAATTCCACTGCTGTAGCCACAGCTCAATATCCCCCGTCGGTTTTTGCATAGCGAAGACCTTCCATTTCATTCGAACCTCCTCCTCATACGCCGTCGACCGAGCAAAGCGAGATTTCAGGTATACCAATCTGTCATACGGTGTATGATGTCCTATCAGATTGAGATGGTGCATTGAATCCAGGTAGGTGAGGATATATTCATTTACATCGCTCAGTCCTTTCGCCTGTTTCTCCCATCGAGCATATCTCAATTTGTATATATCCATACGATCTCTCCAATATCTCCGATCAGTTTCACTCCCATCCTCTGGGTATTCCGGTTCAATTGGCTCTTTCAGAGCTTCCGGCCTCTCAGTAGGGGAGGTATTGGGATCACAGTGGTCCCAAACATTCTTCTGTGTCGCATATAGCTGCACCCGAGCATACCAAGTGAGCCACTGCGGCGAGTCCTTCAGTTTATCGCCCTTCATGGCGGAGAGAATTGATGCTGCTTCCATTGATGGATTCAGGGTTGCCATACAGCGCTGGGTGCTATAGGGATAGCTTCAGGGGTTGCTGTACCGCTTCAGGGGCTATTGGGGATAGCTTTGGGGGGTGTTCGGCCCTATACTTTGGTGATCGTGGCCTTACTGGGTGCGAACCGGGCTCATAACTGTCGAATACACTGGTATCCTGAAATGTATGGGTCCAATCAATGGTGTTAAAATCTCTGTATTTCAGTATCCCTTTTCCTAGCAATTTATATGGATTACGGATTACTAATTCAAAATTACTGCACAACCTGGATTAATTAAATCCCCGGTATGCCGGTCTGTATGCTCCGACATATTCTACAAATCGCAATGCTCATTGATCAACAGGCTTAGCAGCATCCAGCTTAGCCAAGATTTCACTCTTAGGCATCTCATCACTCCACCTCTTGCGCGGGTATTCAAAAGTCGACCCAATCCGACCATAAGACATCCCCCCAAGTTGACCAACGGGCCGCAACTTCTCCAAGTCAATGTGACTATAATCCTCATTGGCAGTGCCCTCCTTGACCCAGAACCGGGTAGCCTTAATGAGAACAGTAGCAGCGAGACTCATACCAGGCTGTTGATGATCCGTGAATTCTTTGATATCAATAACCTTGCCTTCGATGTTGAACACTGACTCGGCAACACGGGACGGTTTCACGGTACTCGATGGCGCTTCATGCAGACCGGATACATCCCACTCGGACACGCCGTATGGAGCATCAATAGAGCTCGCGTTCACTGCCTCGATCATGTTCTCCGAGACTGTGTTGATCACACATTCCCCAGTCTCTCGGAGGTTACGGTAGGTGTCCTTGACCCGACCAGGTCGAGACGAGAAACCCACAATGAACATTGGGGGATCGTGGTCGATGACTTGGAAGTAACTAAATGGGGAGAGGTTCTTTTCACCCTTCGAATTGACTGTACTGAGGAACCCCACCGGCCGAGGCGCAATTCCGGAGACAAGAAGGCGGTAGTTGTTGATCATCGGGCGATCTGGGGCGTAGGGGTCGATTTCATGATGTTTTTGCGCCAGACTGGCTCCATTGTCGGGTACGCCTTGCCCATACTCCCAATTAGGATTTGGAGATTTTGTTACTGTGATGGGCTTGGAATGATCAAAGTCGGGGCGTTTGGCTTGAATCTCGTCGAAATTGCCAGTGTCTTGGACGACTTTGTAGTTTTTTTGTGCCGCGGCGATTTCAGCTTCCGATGCCACGGCTGTTGCAGAGGAACCCATTCTTAATTGATTTAATGAATGAGATCCAATACGAGATACAGAGATGGGAGTATAATTCCAAGTCCTGGATTAAGTTAGATACAGGCTGGCCTGTGAGCAATGGCTGACATACTGATTGGATAGAAAGCGGCCAATTGTTCTTGTCCGAGTCATTTTGGAACAAAGAAAGTATTTGGTGTATTGGCAAAATCAAATTCGACCGTAATGCTCGTCTTAAACTATTTTTGATATCTCTTTTGAGATACCGAAAAAAAGTCGGGTGCAGCCTCCGAGAGTCGGGATACCGCTCCGATATCTTCATGATAAGATTTGATAGTGGAGTCGACCTGGCTTCCTTGACCTCGACCACGACCACGACCACCGTTACTTCTTCATATTCAATCATGTTCAGCCGAAACGCACGCGCTACTCTCCGGAGAACCCCTCTTTTATCGGATCATCTGACTCGAGGTTATGCTCCTCGAATCCAAACTATATCGTCTAGTGTGCCGAAGCATACTAAGGTAACCAGCGTACAGACGAACGAGGCATATGCACGTAAGTTTCCAGACCGAAAAACCCTCAGATTATGTGACTAACAATATCTTTAGCTTTCGCCCATTACGTATGTACAATCAAGAACGCAAGAACATGGATTCTCTAACAAATTCGCAGTCACAAGCGATCAAAGCAGCCGGTCAAGTCTGGCTCTCCGGACAGATCCCCGCAGATGCACAGGGAAACCTGATCAAAGGCTCAATGACCGAACAGACTCAAGCTATAATCAAGAATACCGAAGCTATTCTAAAGGCATCGGGCACTGGGTTAGACAGAGTTGTCAAAGTAGTGGTGAGTATCAAGTACGCAATCCACAGTATACACTCGATTAATATCCCAGAAGGTGTACGTTAAAGATGTCAGTATGATGCCGGAATTTGCATCTGTTTATGATGCTGCATTTCCACATCGCCCTGCACGGTCTATGGTTGAAGTGTCCAAATTGCCAGTCGGGGTGGATATTCAGGTTGATTTTATTGCTGTCGTTTAGATCAATTAGCATTAGATGAGATTACACTAGAAGTGCAAACTATAGACCAATAGAGCAATATAAGCAAAGAAACATGAGTTTTTAGGGCTAAGCCGCTTATGTCGTCGCTTATGTCGTCGACCGGCATTCTGACAAGATGCCGAATTGAGCGGCAAGAGGGTCCGGTTTCTTCATCAATAACGGCTAACAAAATCAAGGCGACTTTATTTGCTATTAATGAGAATGAGTCCACATTCGTTGTCTTCCCAATTTCAATCCACTGTGTAATGGCGCTGCGTTGGGCCTCCCGAGCAGCCTTCCGGCTTCCCTACAGGCTGAGATGTACCCCAGGGCATGTCATTACCCTTACAGCTATTTCTTCTACTCTTGCAAAATATGGTCGCACCCAAGTGAGAAGCTCCTCGTTGCAACTCCGCACTTTCAGCAGTTCTTTGCGCCGGCATGATACCAAGGTCGTCGTGCGAGTACCGCAAATGGCAGAGTCTATTACGGAGGGAACCCTCAGTCAGCTTTCCAAGAAAGTAGGGGATTTTATCGAAGCGGATGAAGAGCTTGCCACGATTGAGACTGACAAAATCGATGTCTCTGTGAATTCCCCGCTGGCGGGAATCATCCAGCAGCTGTTTGTTGCGGAGGGAGATGTCGTCAATGTCGATCAGGAAATCGCAGAGATACAGGCTGGAGGTAGACAGTCTGCGACCAAAAATGAAAAGGAAAACTCCAAGGCTTCGGAAATTATTGCAGATGTTTCGCCAAAATCGCAAGATCAGAACGCGAGCCACACTGCTTCACCCACCTTGGATAAAGAGACACCAGAGGCCCGAGAGGCCCCAGAGCCAAAGTCTGAGGTGACTCCTCGTGAGGACAATACTCCGAAAGCAGAAACACCTGCCACAAATGCTTTATCTGTTGCACAGTCCCATACATCTTGGGGGTTCAGGCCCACCCGCGCAGAAGAAAAGGCAAGTGTATACTGTCCCTCCTTGCGATATACATGTACTTCAAGATCAAAACACAATCCCGGCATCAACTAATACCAAATAATTATCATCTAGATCAAAATGACTCGAATCCGAAAACGCACCGCCCAACGCCTCAAAGAGTCGCAGGATACCGCCGCCTTCCTAACCACTTTCAACGAAGTCGACATGTCCCGACTAATAGAAACCCAAAAGAACAACAAAGAGGCAGTGATGAAAAAGCATGGCGTTAAGCTCGGATTTATGGGATTCATAGCTCGGGCATCTGCGCTGGCTCTGAAAGCGATCCCCGCCGTGAATGCATCCATTGAAAACGACGATACTATTGTGTATCGGGAATACGTCGACCTTAGCATTGCCGCATCTATTCCAAAGGGGCTTGTTACACCTGTCGTGCGGAATATTGAATCCATGGGGATCTTGCAGATAGAGAAAGCGATTGGAGGGATGGTGAAGAAGGTTAGTACTTTGGCTTCTTTCTTGAGGAGCAACCGCTAATATGTGGATTCGATCCAGGCTCGGGATGGCAAGTTGACTATGGACGACTTGACCGGTGGAAGCTTCACAATCAGCAATAGTGGTGTTTGGGGATCGCTCTTCGGAACTCCCATTATCAACCTACCCCAGACAGCAGTGCTGGGAACCTACGGCACCATGGATAGACCCATTGCAGTCAAGGGTCAAGTCGAGATCCGTCCCGTAAGTGCATTTTATTATAGGTATGGCTTTGTTCTTTGATTCTAATCATATATCTATCACTAGATGATGTACGTTGCTCTGACTTATGATCACCGTATCATTGATGGACGAGAAGCGGTCCAGTTTTTGGTGCTGATCAAGCAGTACTTGGAGCATCCAGAGACCATGATGCTCGAGATATAGATTCGGGAATATCAAGCTTCTCTGCAATCGTCGAAATTATTTTTGCAAATGGTTGTCTGCAAATGTGGTGTCCGTTTGCATTGGAACCGAGTTAACATTTTCGTTAGACAGTGTCAATGCAATTTGCGTCACAGTGTCGGCTAGAAGAGGAAGCGAGGCGTAGTCGATTAATCGGGCGAATTTAAATTCGTCATGGCGCTCGGGGATGCTTTTCTTGATTGGTCGGAAGTCAGATACAGTGCCAATGACAGTGACCTTGATATACTATTTACAGCCAAGAATTTGAAAGAGCAACGTCTGGTGTCGAATGTTGGGTTCAGGCATAACATCGCACTCGGAATCGAGATTCTCACTGTAAGATTGTAGCTCGAGTTTAGGTGACGGCGGAGACCTTGAAGTAGGCATATTTGACTCCCGTGATAAGTTGTATAATGTTTTATCCCAACATGAAAACTGCATGGACGAACGGTTAAATATACATAGTGATCCCAACAGCTTTGCAGGGTTTGCATACATAGCAAGGTAACGACTTGGTAACTACACAATGCCGTGGAACCTTGGAATTTCCTGTTTAATAATCTTATCAGGTTTCAGCAAACAGCTAGAAACGTCAACGGGGAGCAACATACATGTATCCTGTCTCTCTATAACGGCCTCCTGCTTTTGAGTTATCTAGGCTGTAAATAAATGCGTTCAAGGTACGTTTGGTAATAATAGAGAGAAGCATGACATGTCGGAACTATCGCCCGACGTTTTGTCGGTTACTTGGCGGTTATATGGCAAAACAGAATTTCGCCGAAGCCATATATACTCCAGAGAGGAAAATGTATGATTATATTGGGATTTCTAATGTTTCATTCCGTATCCCATCAATCCTGTGTTCACTCTTTTCTTTGGCTCTTCGCCCCGTTTGGATGTATAGGGAAGAGGAAAAGATCTAGATTCTTTGATATTTATTATGTTCGTTCTCAAATCTTTGTTAAACCAGGGTTCTGGCCGCCTAGGCACAAGATACCAGAGATTGGCAACTGGAAGTCATCGCCTGAGGCCGTGCTGGCAAACTTATGCACAAAACCGTCGCGTATGATTGACTTGATTTCGACTTGAAGTACGGCAGAAACTGATTGGAATCATTATAGCTTCACCTAGACAGTTTCCTGCAGGGAAACTCCGCAGATTATATGGACGAGATGTATGCGGAATGGCGGAAGAACCCTGCTTCAGTTGATACCTCATGGAAAAGATATTTTGAGGCGATAGAAGCCGGGAAGGAGCCACCTGGACATCTACTTGAACCCCCCGGCATATACCGTTCGTATGGGGTCCCGGGTCCTCACCAATGCTACCAGGCTTAAATACTGCTGCAAACGTTCTTCCCATCCCCTCAGTAGGTGACGACCAAGCCAGAATACAGCGGCTCGTTCGAGCATTCCAAGACTTTGGTCACCGGGGAGCAAAGACAAATCCCTTGGATCTTCCAGATAAGGCATCGTCACCACCAGAACTGCGACCGGATTTCTACGGCTTTACTGAAAACGACTTGGACCGAGAGTTTGCACTTGGACCCCATGTTCTTCCTTACTTTAGATCCGCAAACCGCCAACACATGACCCTCCGCGATATTCTCAATACATGCGAATCTATTTATTGTGGCGTTATTGGAGCTGAATATTCACACGTCGCAACCCGTGAAGAGCGCGACTGGATTTGCGAGCGAATTGAATCCCCCGAACAATATAAGTTCCCACCGGAAGAAAAGAAGAGAGTACTCGACCGGCTGGTGTGGTCTACAAATTTTGAGAAGTTCCTCGCTGCCAAATTCCCGAACGCAAAAAGGTTTGGACTGGAGGGTGTTGAGAGCCAACTTCCAGCAGTGAAGGCAGTGATCGATGCGTCCGCAGAGCATGGCGTGCGCAATATTATATTTCCATGCTGTCACCGTGGAAAATTGAATATTCTGAGCAATGTGACGCGAAAACCAAATGAACTGATCTTCAACGAGTTCTTGGGCGAATTGAAATCTCGACATGATATTCCAGGGGATGTCAAGTATCATCTGGGAATGAACTACGAGCGTGAGACGCCATCCGGAAAGAAGGTCAATATTTCTATTCTCCCAAATCCGTCCCACTTGGAAGCCCAGAATCCCGTGGCACAGGGTATGGCACGAGCTGTGCAGCAGCAGAATGGAGATGATCGAGAATCCACGATGGTCTTCAATAGCCATACCGATGCTGCATTTTCTGGACAGGGGGTCATCTACGAAACCTTAGGACTATCTGGGTTGAAGTCGTATGAGACTGGAGGGACAATTCATCTGATCGTCAACAATCAAGTGGGCTTCACCACAAATCCGGAGGCTGCACGAACCTCATCCAATGTATCTGACATTGCGAAGAGCATCGGCGCACCAGTTTTCCACGTCAATGCAGATGATGTTGAAGCTGTTGTGTTTGTCTGTAAGCTTGCAGCAGATTACCGTGCCAAATTTGCAAAAGACTGCTTGGTCGACATGATCTGTTATCGGAAGAATGGGCACAATGAGATGGATCAGCCGTCCTTTACTCAGCCTTTGATGTATCAGCAAATTGCAAACAAGGTCACCCAATTAGAGCTTTACACCACGAAGCTAGTGCAAGAAGGGGTGATAACTCGTGAAGAAGTCATACAGATGGAAGCAGAGGTGTGGTCGAAACTGAGCGAGAGCCTTGCAAACAGCAAGGACCCACAGACCCTCGATCGCGAGTATCTAACAGCACCATGGCAAGACCTGAAAAAGCCGAGTGAAGTGTCCCAAGAAGTCTACCCTGCCAAATCAACCTCCATTACCCAGGATCTCGTCGATACGGTTGCAAGTGAGATAGGTGTCCACAAGCAACCATTTATCGTGCACAAAAGCTTGCAAAAGATTCTTCAAAAGCGACAGCAAAGTCTAACAGACGGAAGAGAAATTGACTGGGCTACAGCAGAGGCCTTGGCGATGGGAAGCCTGTGTCTTGAAGGTCATCATGTGCGGATTTCAGGCCAAGATGTCGAGCGCGGTACATTCTCCCAGCGTCACGCAGTGCTCCACGACCAAAATAGCGGGTTAATAGTCACTCCTCTCGACTCGCTCAGCCCTAGCCAAGCTCGATTCACAGTCGGAAATTCTTCTTTGAGTGAATACGGCGTCATGGGATTCGACTACGGGTATTCCTGCATGCATCCTAATGCATTGGTGATGTGGGAGGCACAATTTGGTGATTTTGCAAACAACGCCCAATGCATAATTGACCAGTTCATTTCGTCTGCTGAATCCAAATGGTTACTGAGATCTGGTATTGTGTTATCTCTACCTCATGGGTTTGATGGACAAGGATCTGAGCATTCCTCGGCTCGCATGGAACGGTTCTTACAGCTGTGTAATGAGGACTCTCGGTTCTTTCCATCACCGGAGAAATTAGAGAGACAGCATCAAGATACCAATATGCAAGTTGTCTATATGACCACTCCTGCAAATATGTTCCACGTGCTCAGACGACAGCTACATCGCGAGTTCAGAAAGCGTAGGTTCTTGCCCTCTCTACAGTCTGAAACTATTGTTGACCATGTCTAGCGCTGATCATGTTCTTCTCAAAATCCCTTCTTCGACACCCGATGGCGAAATCTAGCATTGGAGATTTTATCGGAGAATCGAAGTTTCAGCCTCTGATCCCAGACCCAGCTCATGGAAAATCCATTTCGAATCCCCCTGATATCAAACGAGTGATATACTGCACGGGACAAGTCTACATGGTATTGGCAAAGTATCGTGAGACCCACGCCATTACAGATACAGCCATAACCCGCATCGAACAGCTCCATCCATTCCCTTGGGAGCAGGTAAAAGAGAATCTTGGGCAGTACCCCAGTGCCACAGATGTCGTATGGTGCCAAGAGGAATCCCTCAATGATGGTCCATGGGCATTTGCTCGAAGCCGACTCGAGACTATCTTTGATATAACGGAGCAACATAAGGGCCGCCGGCTACGTTTTGCAGGACGCGAAGCAACGGCTAGTGTGGCTACGGGATTTGTCAAGGAACATCATGCGCAAGAAGCAGCTTTGGTGAGAGATGCCTTCCAATCTGGTTGAGTTGGATCGAGTGCAATCAACTTCCTTAAAGACGATAGGCAATGAATATAAAGTCCTCCAAGTGATTTCTTTTTCTTTTGACATCTCTCTTGTGTCCTTCCTGTGTTCATTCGATGGAGGGTGATTCATGAGTTGACCCATTCTGAGAAATTAAGCCCAGTTCCAGATTTGAGAGCTTCGTTATCTAGTAAAGCCAAGCATTCATTCCCAAAAATACCATGCGGAACTGACTGCACATCGTGGGGATTTACCATTCTTTTACCATCACTCAAGATCCCTTGGCCGCTCTCCTCGCTATTTGTCTGAGATGCCACCAAGAATAAGCGCCGCAAGACAGCTATGAAGTATTGTGACAGATCGTCCCGTTCAATCGACAGGTGGTTAAGAGCCAATTCCGCCTTTTTTATGTCTTGAATGCAGGATATTGACTCTGGAGACGAGGGATCTGCCTTTAGGTGTATGAGAGGAACGATTAAAGCGTGGAAGAAGGCATACCTGGCATTGACACATTAGCAATATGTACTGAAAGTGACAAAGTGAAATCTTACAATGTGAAAGAGAGTGTTAACGGTGAATAGTCACCGTCGACAATAGATTCTGATATTATCCCGATTGTTGTCCGAGCCATATTGAGTCCATTCGCCCGACAGCGAATTTCATTGGGGTGTTTTTCTGTTGGCGGTCCGGTGTTCATAGACATGTTCTTCAACCACTTCAGAAGTAATGGTCTATGGATGAGCTGTCGAAGACTTCGGTCACATAGTATTTGGCGACGACAGGCTGCGAGATGCCATTCAGGTGCGGATGAATGATCTATCACTTGTGTACAGAGCGACGACCCGTTATGCCAGGCATCTATCATTGAGTCGACTTCATGCACATTTTGTGGTGTGATCGAAGGAGTTGACAGTAGACGGCGATATATTTTGTTTGCCATTCTATGATAGCTGGATTGTTGTATCAGGCCAGTGTATACGGTTGGATGGTCAGTTTGTACAGGGAAAAGTGTGGCGGAAGATCGGAGAGTCTGCAATGTCTTGTTCAGCATGTGAGTAGCAAGGAAGGAATAGGCCGACTAACGCTCTCATGAATATTTGAGACCGGCTCAACAGTAATGAGCATCTCCTCTGGCAGCAACAGTGGTCGCCCATAGATTTTTGCGGAGCAACTCTCGGCACAGTAAACGCTCCACCACACTCTCCTGCGAATTTCCTTGTCTAATTCGCTTGAATAGGGGGATGTGGGTTTGATATGCAGGTTGAGGAAAACTGCCATTCGAACGGCAGTTCCTATATAATGCCCACTCTCTTCAGGGCTTGCCTGTTTCTTTGAAAATTCACCGAGTAGGACCAAGCTTTGCACAAGTGTGATATCACCTTTCTCTGCGAAAGACACCCTTTGAACCATATTTTGTGCTTTGGCAAAATATCTCTTATCTAAATCATGTCGAGCAGGGACAGTTAACCATGCTCCAATGGCCAAGACTGTACTTGCCAAGATCTGCCAGTGAGGTGACGCTTTGATTTGGCCTTTGTACTCCAATCTAAACGTGCCCTCATGCAAAATCGGGTAAAGGGTATGATAATGCAAAAAGTAATTGTCGAGCAATTCGTTTTCTTCATCGCCAGTTCCCACCAACTCAGGCTTGTGAGGTGAACCAGTCAAAAGACAGTTGAATGGTGAGGCTTGATCTCGCAGTTCAGCGCCCATGCGAAGATCCGTCTCCGTCTCTCGTGGTGAAGAGTCATTGGGGAATACACCATCCCAGGTCATAGGGTCTGGTGGTAGTGGGTCATCAACAGAGACTTGGTTAATGGGGCCGACTGAGGCGGAAGGAGGCTGATCTGTTGGCACCTCATCAGTGAGCAAGGTACGAGTGATGGCATCCATCTCGCCAGTTGGAAACAGCCTTCGAAGTGTGGATTCAAGTAAGTGCAGGCGGTTTTCTACCGCTGTGAGGTGCCTGAATGCAAAAGTCAGTGGTTTCGCCTCGACCTGGTGTGACAGGTGGAGATTTGAGCCGCACTTACTCGCGTGTCAGAGGTGTCCGGTTTACTTTTGATTTGTATACACATTTCCGATTATGGCGGACACATGTCGCGCATGGTTGTGCTTTTGAGCACTGTATCAATAAAGGTCAGTAATCCTTTTCACTTTAGGTAAAGAGTTATATTCACAACCTTGGCTTTGCGAGCTCGACATTCGACACACTATTCCTGTAATATTAGCTCTAGTTCTTGGGCCAATTGGACGGTGTTGCACGTACCGCTGGGACATGGGAGTTACGTCCAAACCCTGTTCCCTGATTCTGCATGTTGATAGGACCGAACCAAGCAAGGACTAATTAAGTTTAGTCAACTTGAATTACTCGAAGGTCCCATAGCTAGTGGAGGAGAAGATTGAGATTGAGGCCTGGGTGCCTAAGGCGTATAATTATGTAAGATCCCGTTAAATTTCCCGTTCCGTGGACTCTGCTAATCTGTTGTGTTGCAACCTAAGAAATATCCCGCGTTCCTTGCCAGAACGAGATAGGAATCATGGCTATCGATTACCCCTGGAGTCCGCGTCAAGTGTGTAATCTCAACATTATGTCTGGCTAAGTAGATAGGTCGCCAGTCGGGACCTCGGGAGAAGGATAGAATGACATAATACTATGTGTGGATTTCTGTGGGGCAGGATGGGGACGGAGTAGAGTCTACCGGTGATCCTATTGGCGGGAATAGTGGCGGCTCTCCAAAAGAATCCGCTTTGCCAAGCCTATCTGAGCTATGATTTGCTGGTGTAATGTCGATGACAGGGAGGTTTAATGCTAGTATGTATTCAAACTTATATCTCTGACCCGGATTTTCGTTTTATTTTTCATTCCTAACTTCTATTCAACATATCTTAAACTTTCTTCTCCTAGACATCCAAAACAACATGGCAATTACAGTCGGAATTGCTGGCATCACCGGCAAATTTGCTCGTCTGGTCGTGAAGCATCTTCGTACCTCACCGGAAGTCCAAATTCGCGGACTATGCCGCAATCCTTCGAAGCTTCCTGAGAGTCTCCGTGACTCGCCTCGCGTGACCATTTTCCAAGGTGAATCTACAGATTTTGACACTCTGCGTACATTTGTCCGCGGCTGTGATGTCGTGATATGCTGCTACCTCGGAGACAACAACCTCATGACCGAGGGTCAGAAGTTGCTTGTTGATGCATGTGAACTGGAGAAGGTCGGCCGCTACATCGCTAGCGACTATAGTCTGAACTTCCCGAACCTGGAATACGGCCAGCTTCCTGCGAAGGATCCAATGAAGCATGTCATGGCATACTTGGAAGAAAAGAAAGATGTTCAGGGTGTTCATATCCTGATTGGCATTTTTATGGAAACATTCTGGAGTGGGTACTTTGGTGTCTGGAAGCCAGACGAGTGCAAGCTCTCATTGTACGGGACTGGCGATGAGATCTGGGAGTCCACAACTTATGATACTGCTGCTCAGTATGTGGCTGCTGTGGCAAGGGATCCAAACGCAGTTGGCGTACTGCAGTGTAAGTCAAGACTACATTTGTCCTGGACGAAATACATTTGCTGACTCTTTTCTTTACATATAGTTCTCGGTGATCGGAGAACAACCCGTGAGATTGCGGATGACTTCGCCGAAGTATACGGAAAGAAGCTTGAGCTCGACTTGCTAGGCTCTCTGGACGATCTCTACAGCACCATGCATGCAACGTACAAGCAGGATCCCTCAAACATCTTTGCCTACCTCGCGATGTAAGTTCAAGCGCCCCCTCCAAACTAAATGATTTGGCTGACTGAACGATCTCACCAGGTTTTATGAATACTACTGCCTAAACGGTCAAACGTATCTGAAGAAGGATTTGGATAACTCCAAATATCCTGATGTTACCCCAATTACTTTTAAGAAGTTCCTCCAGTCCCACAAATTGGAAGAACTGAGTGACGCAAATCAGAATGCGGGCTCTGATGTTTAGCAAGGTTTTCGACTGTTTCATGGTTAATAAAAGCCTATCCAGTATAGAAAGAAAACTAAAATCCAGGTGGTTCTATAATCTATCTCTCTGATATAGAAAGTCATCTGGTTCAACAATTTTGAACTTCATGAATTCTCGTAAAAAGTCGTATATTCATTTAAATAGTGGCAACTTATCAAACCCCAACAGATTGCATGATCCCTTCCACATCTAATTGATCTGCAAGATCCAGTAACTCTCGCGGGGGAATAGTGACAGATGAATTGAGTCCTAGTAAATCCCACTCAAACTCCTCGTGATCAAAGGCATATGGTTCTTCGCCTATTTCATTGCCTTCATCCAGATTGACCTGCGGCAAATGGTGATTTGCCAATTTCGGTGTTATAGGTGCGAGTATTTGCTCCAATTGCCTGAGCTCAAGCCTGCGAAGGGGTGCAGCTAGATTGCCTTTTGAAATCAGTTTATCGAGCACTAGTGCCAGATTGTCGCACCAAGTATCGTTCGAGATCACCGATGGGGCAATTGCACGGATGAGGTAGAGAACAAACGCAGAGGAGGATGCGTCTTCGATTTGGAACGGTAAGAATGCGTCTGTAAGTTTGAATTAGTTTTATAGGTCTGTGGACACAGCTAGTAGATCATACCCATCAAGTCATCATCAGCTAAAGTACGAAGGGTCTGGAGGATAGTTTGGGCGGAATCGGCACAGCATTGTAATAGGGATGCAACAGGCGGGGCTAGACCGATCGTCTGGGATTTTTGTCTCTCTGTTCGTTCAATATGCATGTGAAGTGCGCACATCACTAGCGGTCTTGTTGTAAGTACCACGCACTACTGCTGTTAGTTCGTAGAGAGATCAGTAGTCCGGAGGGAACGCACATGATGATGAGCCAGCATTAATCGAATCGCCATTTTCGAGGCACGGCTAATTAGCCCGTGGAAATGGGCATTTAAGAAGGCAGTTAGGTCGTATGAAAGTTCGGCAATGCTGTGAAGAATGGACTGTGTGCTTCGAACGAGCGTGTCATCGAAATCGTTTCCAACCCCGTAGACGGCTAGACTGTGTTAAAAATGTACCCAACTCTAATCAACCAAAAGACTCAAACTCACTTGTTAGAATCGTGGCCATGAGTCGGGCAAGCCGAACATGTAACGTCAAATTAACATGTTCTACTGAATTATCCATCTCTGCTGGCAATTTAACCGTGATATCCTCATCCCTGATCGAGCTCGGTGCACCAATTAAAGCGGAGAATTCTCGATCCAACATATAAACTACCCAAAAGATTGTTCTGCATCGTTTGGAGAGCTCCGGTCCACATATCTCCTCTGGTACATGCCTGTGTATTCCTTCGATGATACAGCCTCGTAAAGCCTGCCCAATCTGTTCACATAGTTAGATAATGTAGTAAAAGTGAGACATCAAGAAACCCACATGTTGAAAGGCCGCCCTTCTCATATCTATTGACTGAAGATACACCGCCCCTAGGCTGAGTGCTTGGATACAGCCCAAGGGATCTTCGTCAACTCCTGACAAATCAGGCAACAGAGCCATGGCCCGAGAGGCGTATTGATGACCAGGCGGTGTCCCAGAAGGATTCTTCTGTGTCAAGAACGCTTTTCCGAAGGCAAGAACAAGTAAGTATTGACAGTACCAAGGTCTATTGGAAGCAGCTTTCGCCGATGGGTCCCGGTAGAATTCATGCAGGTCCTGCAAATAAGCGTCTTCATCAATCATAAAAGAAAGGAAGCCAAAATAGAACTTGACTGTGTTGAATAAAAAGAGCGCATAGTCCAACGGTGGCAGGTTAGTAACATCAGGAACTTCGTCTGGAGGATATGGTCGCCAGGTTAACTTGAAGGCCACGCCATCAATGTGAAATGGATCTGGTGGACAGTTTGATTCAGGCACCTTTCTCCCTATCAAAGCAAGGACGCGACGACAAAAGGACCATGACGATGTTGGCCCCATGTACCCTTCGATATCCGAGTCAGTGATGAGCGAGCGCGAGACAATAGACTAGGCACTCACAAAATCGGCCGTCTGGTGTCTGGGCAAAGGATGGATCCCGATCAACCAAAGGATTCCGAGAGAATCTTAATCGATGATTGTCTTGTTCGGCAACACTGCTGGTCTCGTGCTCTCTCTGAGGGGTCCCTGGGGTGTGCAGGGGCGGTCCCATGCCTGAAAGCAAACCACAATCAACACACCAAACACACATTCAGAGAATGGTCACAGCATACCAATTGACATTGAACGCCATCCAATATCTGCTTGGCCGTCTAGCAGTGTACTAGATGCTTGAGGGGTTGGAGGAACATCAACATTCTCATCGCCTGTAAACAGTGTACCTCCTAGAGGACTGTGATCACGAGGTGCCGGGGGCCCATGTCGCACCGAGTTTCCGCTTCTGGATAGGTGCTCCTCTAGCTCTCGCAAGTACCTATTACACATTAGCACGTACAGTGGAGCCAGTTGCAGTTACTCACCGTTCCGACACGGAAACGCGGACATCCTCCACTGGAAAGTGACAATGCTTCTTCTTCCGTGCACATCTTGTGCAAGGGCTGATCCCCGAGCATTTGACCTTCATTGACCGACATCGCTCACAGCTTTATAAAATGTAAGTTGGTTATTCTACTTTGGGACAAGATCCTGACTCACGCCCTCTGGCACTTTTTGGTTCTTGCCTGGCTAGGTGTTGCAGGCATGCCGGATTAGGATACCGAGACGATGTATAGAACAATTGTGAAGCTAGTCTGTGCTTCCGGGGCGACTCTCCGATATCAATTGCCTTGTAGAGTGCGGGGTAGAGATGAGACAACTGGTACAATCAGTCGGGATGTCCTTCCGACTTTTCTTATCGGAGATAAGAGCGAGATAACAGCGCATCGTCTATCACGAGCCATCACATGATTGGTTAGGCCCTAACGGGACTGACTTTGCCTTGATCTATTTGGATTCATGCATGAACTATGCATATCTTTAGTCGGTATGAATGGTCTGATTGGTTATCTTGTGCATTGGGTATCTACTTTGTAGCCACTAAAATATCTTCGGGACTCATCCGACGATCCTTCGCCACAACTCTCGACGCAATGCGGTCACCATGTGTTGTGTTCGCTCCACCGCCCCGCGATTCTCGATTGCTCGGCGGTGTAGATATCCCATGCACTCGGCAACCGATCCCCAAGCCATGCACTTGAAAGCTTTTGGCACAGTAAGGTTGGCAGCAGATGATTGTTCGAGAGCACGTTCGTAGTTTTGCACTAATTCACAACTGAGCTCGTCGGCCATGCCTTGGATTTGTCCACATTCTAGCATAACTGTGGGTTGATTGGTGAGAAGCCTATTCTGGTGTGTGGCAATCGCTTTGGTTGCACTGGCGGCGTTGTGGGTGGCGAGGAACAGAGCGGCCTTGGGGAATGGGAGGTCCTCCTTCCCAGCAGGCATTCTTCGGCAAAGCATGGTGTCTGCGATGAGATCGTAGGACCGGTCTGTATCGGCCTGGGTATCATGGATGAGAGATCGTGTCTCATGTTCAATATATGCACCTCGAACCAGCTTTATACCCAGGGTCCAGCCCTCTTGTGCGGCCATGGTAAGATGATGGTCGAGATTCGCCTTTGATCCCTTGAGATAGCCCTGAATAGTGTTGTAGACAATTGGTGCTTCAGATTTGTTATGTTTGCGCATCGTTTCAATGGCCCAGTCATCAAGACCCTTTTGCAAGACTTGTTGCTCTGCATCCAACCAGAGACGTGAGCCCTGCTTTTCTGTCTCAATGCAAATCTCATCGACGGCTTTGACCATAGCCTCCGGCATAGGCCGGCGTGCTGCCATCGCATCCACTGAAATAGGGCCGGCACCTGTCAATCTGCAAAAGAAATATCAGATTCTATAGGACAAGAGTCCAGAGCTTCACTACTTACTTCACGGCAAGGAAGTCACCCGGCCCAACCATACGCAGTGTCTCCAATGTTCCCTCCTTCCACTCTTCGACCATCTCGTAGCATTTCTCGCTGTATTTTAATGTGCCAGACTCATCGGTCGAGAGCTTTTCGTCATGATCCAGCACTATCTCTCTCGAATATCCCAAGATGACGCCCTGGTATCCCATCTTCTTAACGTCTGCCACAGTCTTCGAAACTTCCTTTCTGTTCACTCCGGCACAAAAGTGATTGTAAACCGTCCAGCGAAGGAACTTGTTCAAGGGGAGGTTCCGATCCGGGTTCAATAGTGGGGATTTCGACGTCGCAAGGACACCCATCACGGCTAGGGCAGGCCGTAAGAATAACTTGGATGTCATCAAGGAAGTCAAAAGCAAAGATCGTAGTAGTAGTCTCGTCGGAATTCGGGCCATACATGCGACCTCGACAGGCGGCTTGATTTCTGGCATGACGGCGGCATCATGGAAGTGAGATTTTGTCGAATGAAGTCGAATTATGGTCGGTGAGGTGTGAACTGAGAAACCATGAGGGGTTCTCATAAGAGTAGAACGAGGTAACATCTTGGCTTGAGTAAAGAACATGAATAAACAAGTCCAGCGTCGCGGTTCTGTTTTATATGAAAGTGTTCAGGATAGCAATGACTTTCGTTCAACCCAGGTCGCTACCACGGAATACTATTTGAAGCAAACACTCCTCCTACTCTCTGTATTACTTTATCAGACCGCCACTACCTACTCCAACTATCCGATCATAGATAGACAGCCGGTCTTCCATCGGAGGGTGACTCCGATGGAGGGGTTCGCGGACCAGGAATCCTGTCCCGCGATGCCAACTCATCTGTGTCTCCGTGGATGCTTGTGCTACCGCTGAATGGCCCAGGAATGTAGCTCCATGCGTTATTATTTCTCTAGTCCCAGTCCGATTCGAGGTAGTATTGTTAGTTTGCATTACGTTTCATAGATAGACGTACCTATGTGGGGTTGGCAAGTGGCGGTCTTATGGTACACTATCTCATTTTCAGTGTAACCAGGCGCTCATATCTTTTGTTTCGGTGACTCGGTTCAGATGTTAATCTTCAGTGCTATCTGGTGGTACCAGATGTCGCTTTCACGCCCCGGGGCACAACCTTAGAACTCCTATCACTAATAGTATGGTATCGGAATATACCTAGTCTCACTAACATACATATAGGGAAAGGAAACATATACCAAGGGGCATAGAAAGAACATAAAAAGACATGAAAGTAGTATCTTATATGTTGAATCTCTAATATAATATTCGGATTATCCTATTTCTACAACCACGGCCAGGATTACGACATACGCAGCCACATATTCTAGTACTCCGTGGTCCTTTTGGTCCGTGCCAAGGCAAGCAGCATAGTAGCCATAATAGCCCTCGCCAGAGTTATCCCTCGATCTTTGTGCCGAACCTTATGTAGTGTAGGTGCAATAAGAGTCAATCTACCATAAACTCCAATCCACAGCCGGTTCCATGACTATGACATATTCGACTTGATGTATTAGGTATTATAAGAAGAACTATGGAGGCTATTTTCCTGACTCTTGTACTTCTCATGGTCATTGAAGAACTATGCATTCACACAAAAGGATATAAAAGTTTAATATATATTGGTTGAAGATCATAAGTTATATCTAAATTTGGCCGCTTTCTTAAACCTCGTTCGAAGGATATGTGACCTTTTCCAGAGGCACAAACTCTTCCTTGATTGTGCGAACGCTAACAAATCGCTGCAGGTGCGCCATGGTGCCAGTCTTGTCGTTAGTACCCGAGTCGCGGCTACCACCAAAAGGCTGCTGAGCCACAGTAGACCCAGTGCACTTCGTATTTAGATAGAGCATGCCAGCAGCGTGCTTGAGAATAGTCTGCGCCTGGCGGCTGACATAGGGGTCCTTGGCGAAGATACTTCCAGTCAATGCGTAGCGAGACGTTGTGTCAACCAGCTTCAAAGTTTGCTCCCATTCAGCATCTGGGTAAACATAGATGCCAAGAATAGGTCCAAATAGTTCCTCGGACAGAATCTTGTGGTGGGGGTTGGAGGTGCGATAGACGGTGGGATGCACGTAATAGCCCTCTGCTTTGGAAGCCTTTCCGCCAACGATAAGCTCCAGCTCGGAATCGCTCTTTGCTTCCTCGATGAAGTTATTGAGCTTGTCAAATGAGCGCTCGTGAATGACTGGGTTGATGAAATTGCTATAGTCTTCGACATCTCCCACCTTGAGAGCTGCGGTCTCTTCTGCCAGGACCTTTTGGAACTCCGGCCAGACAGACTCTGCAACGTAAACACGCGAGTTGGCGGAACACTTCTGACCTTGATATTCAAAGGCTGCGCGAATGGTGTTCAGAGCCGCGCTCTTCACATCTGCGGATGGGTGGACGACACCCCAGTTCTTGCCGCCAGTCTCGCCGACCACTCGAGGGTAGGAGTTATAGATACCGGCACCGATGCCATCGCCGATCTTTTTCTGAATACCCTTAAACGTAGCAGTAGCCCCAATGAATGTCAAAGCTCCAAATTCAGGTCTCTTGAGTACAGTGTTGGTGATTTGCTCGGCATCACCGGGCAAAAACTGGACAACATCCTTAGGCAGACCGGCCTCGAGCAAAATTTGATGAAGCAGCCAGCTAGCATGAAGCGCTGCGTCCGAAGGCTTCCAGATAACGACATTGCCAAGCAGTGCAGCAGGTCCAATAAGCGTTGCGCCGAGTGCAGTGAAGTTAAAAGGAGCAATGGCGTACGTGAAACCTTCGAGCGGGCGGTACTCCATCTTGTTCCAATTTCCATCGAGTTGGACTCTAGGTTGCTGAGAAAACAGCGCCCATGCCTCTTGGATGTAGTGGCGGAAGAAGTCGGCCGTCTCGGCAGCGGCATCGATCTCTGCTTGCCAGATGTTCTTTCCTTGGCCAAGCATTGTAGCTGCAACTATTTCTGAACGATATTTGCCAGTGACGAGCTCAGCGGCTCGAAGAAAAATGGCGGCACGGTCTTCAAAAGGGGTAGCTTCCCATGCGGGCTTTGCATTGAGGGCTGCGTCAATGGAGGCATTGACTTGCTCTGGAGTGGCAGAGGCATAGTTTGCGACAACCTCGCTGTGCTTTGAGGGGTTTGGCTGGGAGCGGGATTCTTTTGTGGTGATCTACAAATTTATATCAGATGAATATCCTTGCTTGATTGGTATTCGTTGTTGTCACATACCTCTGAGCCATTAATAGTGATAGGAATTGTGAAAGGGAATTGTCCCTTGAGTTTCTTAATACTCTTGGTCAGCTCCTCTCTTTCTGGAGAGCCTTTTGCGTAGTTGAGCTGATTTGCTGTTAGTCTAAATTCAGTTGGACACTTCGGTATTTCTCACCATCTTTTCATTTTCAAACTTGGGAGGGCTCAGCATAGTCAGGTATCGCCTTGAAGGTCCATTTAGGGCACGAGGTCTCAGGCAATTGAGCCTCGCTCCTCGGGTAATAGTAACAGGACGCATATTGTTTTGGGGAAAAAAGAACAAGAGAGTCACAGATTTCGGTCAATGTTAAAGCAAGCACAATTTGCTAACACACCGGCAGATAAGCTGTTAAATATGATTTTCATGCATGAGCTAGGTATACTAGCCATCGGGAGGTCCTTCCGTGTACAACTGTGACAAGGAATGTCTAACGAAGCTCCAATATCGGAGCAGCCATCCGACATTCGATGTTCGATAAACCAGTTTCAACGCCCCCGAGCACCAAAACACCCTAAGCACTTCACAAAGAATTTATTGGTGTCGCTTTTTTAGATCAGACTTATGTTTAGTCTCGATATGTTTTGATGAGAAAACTGGCCCGACAGGCACATGGTAATAATTGATCAAGCTATGTATGGAATCTCAGATTGACGATAAAAATGTGATATTATCGCCCTTGCGCAGCAAAATCAAGCTTAACCCTCATACTCATCATCAGATGCGCTGTCATCTTCATCTGATTCATCGCTCCAACACATGTTTTCCTCCACTTGAAATACTGACCAGTCTATCGTGGAGCTGTCATCCTTGTCGTTTGTTGAGAGGTTCCGATCTGTTCGGCGCTGTGAACGGGACTTCTTAGGTCCATCGTGGCCTTCCGATCCATGGCTTCCTTCGCGGGTGGATAGAATAGAAGCTTGTGTATGGATATAGGCAAGTGTTTCACCGATTTCATGACGAGCTCTGTAATTCATGTCTCGTCGGGACCACTGATAAAAGATTAGTATAATTTCATGTAGATATCCTAAGATAACAACTCACTTGTCCTTCGCTGTTGATTCGTAGAAAATGGAACTGCTCATTGTCGGTAGAAAGACCGAAAATGGCATGCTGGGTCCTATTCTCATATTGACGTTGCGCATAATCATACCTACATATCGTTAGTTCTGATGCTGAAGATGAAGGAAAATCACATGCACATATAGGCAATAGTCTGAGGTATGCAATAGGACGATCGGCCTTCCCTTGTTTTCACAATGACGAAATTGACGGCCGCGTTCTCCTTTTTAGCGTCAGGACCGTACCAAAGGGAAAAACTAGGGAACCCTTGTAGACAGCGCTTTTCCCCCTCGTAGACAACCGGCTCAAAAGAAAATCGGCATCTGGACGAGATAGGGATCGTAGGTAAGCCATCAGTGTGTCAGTCGGGGGGTGTGTAGTGCACAGCGTTAAGAAAGAACGCTAGACGAATTCCCAACCCAAGTTCCTGGCGTTCCCTGGGGTCGCTTCGTCCGGAATCGGAAACCGAGCCCTCTATGATATTCAGAATATTCCCTAAGCCGAATCAACTAATCAATAACTCATTCCAACATATTTCACGACAGCCTCACTGGATTCAGGGGGAAGCTCGAACGAAGCCCGAAATTGGGCCCAGTTCATGTCCTGGGTTTGGGTAAGAGAGAAAATGCTTTCAACTTCTCTGAGTGTAAGGTTCTTGACTGCCAATATAGGAAAGAGAAGTTTCTTGCGAGAAGATCCCATTATGGGAAAAAGAGGAGAGTATTAAGGCTACTGGCGAAGGGGAGGAAGAGGAAGAAGGATCATTGTAGTTCATGCTAGCAAAGAGCAGGGTCTTTATACCATGCCAATCAAACAAACAAACGCTCAGTCTGACAAACAAGCCAAAACACGGTCTGATATTTGACAGAGAGGCATTTCAGATTTCGTGATGCAAGAAGAGATGTAGGAGGGGATGTAGGAAGAAATGTGAGAAGGGGAGAGATGGAAGGTAGAGCCCTTGACTTTCTTTGGAGGCAGTCCTTCTCTACATATTTACATCTCTTTTCTCCATACTACCTTTTACTTTCGTCTTTTCCTCCTTCATGACAATGTCGAATAAGTGGACTTGAGCCGTAAGGCGAACGAGACTTGCAAAAACCTGTTCAAGATAATTACATTAAAAAGAAAACGCCTCGCCATTTCATCCCTCAATATGGTGCAAGTTCAAATGCTACGTCTTCAAGTGATGAATGACCCCGAGCTTGAGAATGCTTCCCCCGCAGATGTCGTCTGAACTGAGTATGTATGGGTGAGTGCCCTTGGAGTTACATTTTAAAATCTCCTTTAAGGCCTCATACATGAGCTTCGGAAAGATGGAAAGAAAAACTGCACAGTATACGGTATTATATAGACGGATATTGGATCTAAGTGCCTCAAGTCTCACAATCATGGAACTAGCCCCATATCACCAGAAAACAAGAATATAGCTCAGTACTTGGCGTGCTTGTGCATTCTCTGACAGAGCTGTCAGAGATGTCCCCAAAGCCGAAAGAATCGAAGCCAAGTCATGAGGAAAAATCCGACTCGACCTCACACTGTTCAGAAATATAGGATACTAGTTAGGCAAGGCCATCGTCCGACTACAATATACATTTGACCTCTCAACCCCATTATGGTAGTCTATTACCAGTCACTTAAGATTTCCTCAAGTTTGACCCGTTTTGATGGACTTTTGAGTAGTCTTTTTTTTTAGCAGTCTTGGGCATTCTTTTAGATGTCACTTTTTTTAGGTCATTATTTATTTTATAGAAAGATAAGGGGAATTAGCCGTAAAATATAGAATAGTGAAAAGAGGGTAAACTTTTCTATATATAATATGAGAAGTATATAGTTATTTAAGCCTTGTGAATCCCTGTAATTCATTAATAATTCCGAGAATTGAACTTGAAACTTCATATAGAATTGGTGAGTGTCAAGAATAAGATACTCATATCACCTATACAAAATTGGGACACTGGCGGTAATAGACTGCCGTACCAATTTGGACCTCTTATCTCTCACATTATTACTCTCCTTCTTTGCATCTCTTGAAAATTCAAGTGTCTCCAGCGCTGTGTTGTTTTTTGGGGGGTTTTTTTTCCTTTTTTGAGCTCGTGATATTCAGCCCCCTCGGGAGCTCCGCTTGATCGTCCAACATCGTCATTGCCATCACCTCCACACCTAATCCTCCCGACCGCTCTTCTGGCGCAAACACCCCCGTTTCCTAATGTCCTTATTCGGCACATCTCCAGAGGCTCCCTCTGCGGATCCTGCCAGATCCAAGTCCTCGCTATTTGCCGACGAACCGGCTACGGGCGGCTCCTCGCTGTTCGCCGATGACGACGACGACAGCTCTCCTTGGAATGCCCAAAATAATACCAAAAGGACTGCCCGGCGCGATTTGGTTCGCACCTTGCTTCCTAATACGGACGTGCCTGAGAGCTATATTGACGCATACGACCTGATTCTGAACAGTGGGGATAGAGTTGGCTCCGGCATTGGATTGACCTCTGTTCGGGAGATTCTTTCAAGCAGCGGGCTCACTGCAACCGACCAAAACAAAATCCTGAACCTAGTTGCTTCTGGTGATCATGAAAGCTTTAGTGGACTCGGTCGTGGCGAGTTCAATGTGCTGTTGGCGCTGGTCGGCCTAGCGCAAGAAGGCGATGACATCTCCTTTGATGCAGTCGACGACCGCCGTAAAAGTGAGTTGACTTTGCGCCCTTTGGCATTTCTTTATTTATTATTCGGGATAATTACTCTAACACGGAGCCAATGCAGAATTACCCCAGCCAAATAGTGGCTACCTCGACCGCCTACGAACGACCGGCGACACGAGCTCTGAACCACATCAGCGGCCTGATACCCCTCCTTCCCAACCTCCTCCCTTACAAACCACCGACTCCACATACTCGCAAACGTCACGACGAGAGTCATTGGGCGGATTGGAGTCGGATCCATGGGGCAGTCCACAATTACACCGCGGTCACAACCATGAGACAGGAGCTGCCGAACCACGTATATTGAATGGATTCGGTAGTGTGAGGTCCACGACGAATGCCTGGTCTAGCAAGGCGGTTGAAGACACCACACAAACCAACGTGGTTCAACGGGAGCATTCCAATGGCCATACGGAGGCTGCGCCGCCTAGGAGCGCTGGGTCTGGATGGGGCAACAATAACTTCAGCGGAGTGGGTCCGAGCGACGAAGGCAGCTTTGGAGGCACAGTGCCTCCGGAACTAGGTGGATTCGGTCCTGCGCTGGATGAGCCCACCAATATCACACCACGGCGTCGGTCTCTTGGTCTCGGCCGACCGACAAACCCACAGGTCGAGGAGAGCGTCACTGTCACGTTGCTCCCCGAGAAAGAAGGCTTGTTCATGTTTCAACACCGAAACTATGAGGTCAAGTCTGCACGGAGAGGTAGCACGGTTATTCGGCGTTATAGCGATTTTGTCTGGCTATTGGACTGCCTCCAAAAGCGATTTCCTTTCCGGCAATTGCCCCTTCTTCCCCCCAAGCGGGTTTCAGGTATGCACAACGCTGGTTTAGCGCTCCTAATTTCTTACTCACAATTATGAAGTAAATGGCACTCACCTTTCAGCGGATTCATCCTCATTTCTCGAAAAGCGCCGGCACGGACTTGTTCGATTCACCAACGCCCTCGTTCGCCATCCCGTTCTTGGTCAAGAGCAGCTCGTGATCATGTTCTTGACAGTTCCAACAGTAAGCTCCCCTTTGAGTTTTTGGGTATCCTAGTCGGGGCAGACAATAACTGTGAATATAGGAACTTTCAGTGTGGCGAAAGCAGGCCACAATATCCGTCCAAGACGAGTTTGCTGGCCGTGTCCTCCCACCGGATCTTGAAGACTCACTACCCGCTACTCTCGATGAAACGTTTGAAACCGTCCGCAGCGGTGTCAAGCGTTCTGCGGAAATCTATATTAATCTTTGCACTTTGCTTGAACGATTGGCTAAGCGCAACGATGGTCTGGCTGCTGACCACCTCCGGTTCTCCCTCGCCCTGCAGTCCTTGACGGAAGTCACCAAAGACACGTATGCAGTGGATACCAATGACATCCCGTCCCTTAATGCAGGTATCACAGCTACTGCCCGGCATCTCTCTGCCAGCCAAAGTCTATTGGAGGACGAAGCCCGAGGATGGACCGAAGGGGTTCTAGAAGATCTCAAGCGGCAACGTGATTGCTTGGTCAGTGTGCGCGAAATGTTCGATCGGAGGGATCGGTATGCACGGAACAACATTGCGCAGCTGGAACGGCGCATTGAGACCAATGAGCAGAAGCTGCAGGACCTACGCGCCCGACCCTCGGGCACAGTAAAGCCCGGGGAGACCGAGAAGGTTGAGGATTCTATCTTCAAGGTGAGACTGCATATTTCAATGGCACCCACAGTCATACTAACTTTAGTTATCTACTAGGACAAAGAATCCATTGTGCAACAGCATGCTCGGGGCGTCTTCATCACAGAATGTATCCGCGATGAACTCGTTCACTTCCAGCAGAGCCAGTATCACATCAGCCGGCTGCATCAAGACTGGAGCCAGGAGCGTGTCAAGTACTCCGAACTGCAGGCGGACAACTGGCGTGGCCTGAGCGACGAAGTTGAGAGGATGCCGACGGGCATTTAACTGGGCAGCATTGGGCCTCGTCAATCAGGTCGTACATCGTACATAACAGCCCGGACTCGCAAATCTTTGAATTATATTGGAGGCACGTGCGGGGCGCGCAGTGCATAGTGTGCCCATTGAATGTTTGCTTTTCATCTTTTTATCCATATTTTCTCGGAAATACTCCGTTTCACGATGTTTCTCATCAAATTCCCCCTGATAGTTCACTGTTTTGCTTTTACATAATTTCCAATTTGATCTTCTATTCAATTTGATCTTCTATATTCTATACTATTTACCAGACAAGTAAGTTATACATCTCGTATATATTCAGTACGTGCATACGGAGATCGTATAATACTGTGCCCTATCAATTCCCCACTGTTCTATATAACGCCACTGACCCAATCCATCCCGATGATCCTTGATTTCGGCCTTGGCACCTGGTAAGGCCGACCTTTACAGTACCATTACAATACACCGGAATATTACTGCTGTCCGGATGTGAGAGACACATCCGGTATGCAGTTGATTTG